TAAGTCATGTGATCAGTGTGATTATAATGGTCAGATTTATCAACACCTAGAAAGATTTAATCATCGTACAGAGGAATGTTTAGAATGTACATGTAAGGTAGGTAATCACTTATCTTTATATATTACACAATTACTTTTATTCTCTCTATAAAGTGCAGTATTCATTTAAATATTATTCAGTCCTTCAATTCAAAGTTAAGGTCTATTCAGTGATACTGTCAACATGGCACCAATCAGTGCTTTGGTGAAATGCTCCTGTTTATAGTATTGTAAACACATAAATTATTGTAAGTTACAGCCTTGAATTCTAACTGTCTATATGTTCATTGGACCTTGGTTTTACATACCATCCAAATGAATTAACCCTAATTGTTTCTTGCCAGGACCTAAGTCTGCACCACTGACAAGGTGAAACCACACTGGAAAATCCTCAGGCACTTTCTCGGCCAACACAGGGATTGAACCCCAGACCTCCTGAAAAGTGAGCCAATGCCTTACTCACTGAACCACCATGGCTCCTCATTTTAAATGAAACTTGCTCTGTGGCTTCACTGCCTATATTCAAATAGTTACTTTTACTGTGAAAACCCGACACCCCAAACATCCCAAGCTCGTAAAAGTGACAAAGGATTTATTATTTCAAAATTATTCAAATGCATAAATTATTTGTGATTTTGTTTTAGAGAGGTACGGTAGATTGTGGAGCTAGACCATGTTCTGTTAGTTGTACACATTCAGCTAAAGATTCAGGTTGTTGTCCAGAATGTAAAGATTGTTTATATGAAGGGAAAGTACATGATGAAGGAGAGAGATTCATGTCTGATGTCGATCCATGTTTACAGTGTACTTGTAGGGTAAGATATTTGATTTAGTAATTTTACTAAGTTTTTTTTAACAGTAATATTTGAATTTTCCTGGATACAACTTGACTGAAAGACTATTTCTATCTGCCTTCAGTATCAGTGTTACATGTTGAATTATTTGATTATCATTTAAATAATTGAGATATGTAAATCAGAATTGTGTAGCATTTGCAATTTCTAGGCATTGTGGTGTGCACAATTCATAAGATATGGATGAGAATTTTTTTCTGAAAAGAAACCTTAGGATATTTTATAGTTATTTTATGCTATTTCCCCACTATGATGATTCGCACTATGGTTGAAATTGTGGTTTTAATTGTGGAGTAATCTTGGTGGTCCTATCAGATCTTACCATATATTGTGGTCAGTCGTATCAATCGCGTGGATCGTATTGAAATGCATCTGAATGTACCAGATCGTGGTACAATCCTATCGTAACACATAGCACGACAGTGGGAACCTAGCAATAGGAACACAGTTTGGTTTGTGCCTAAGTATAAGTTAATTTGTATTTTTTCAGAGGGGTAGTGTCTTAACTCAGAATGTACAATGTCCAACACCAAGATGTCGTAATCCTATTAAACAGCCTAATGAATGTTGTGCATCCTGTCCAGGTATGTACTTATAAACAAATGGAGTTAATGTCATTTCTTGTACCTGATAGATGTCTTTACATACTTTAATCACAAGTTTTAAAATGAGTTCCTGTATTTAATATGAGCAAATATTTTATTTTACAGTTTGTAATTTTCTGGGACAGACATATAATGACAACACAGAATTTCCTCACCCAGAAGATGCGTGTCAAATTTGTGAATGTCAGGTAATATAAGTTATATAACCTGTGTATTATCAATTCTATTTTATTATTTGAAAACTAAATAATACTCTTGTGTCGTAATTCTGCTTGTATTGAAGGTTTTATTCCAAATTATCCATAGGAAGAATGAGGTAGCAGGACAAAAGCATATTTGGCAAATCTGACACATGGCAGAGCACAAAAATTGACAGTTTCAATTAAAAGAAAGGCAATAGAATTTAATAACATTACGCATATGGATAACCCATTTCATTTCATGCAGTGCTATATTTGATATGAAAAATAATTATTATTTGATTATATAATTTCTATAGACTGGTCGTGTAAAGTGTACCAAGTTAGAATGTAGTGTAACTTGTAGTCATCCTAGACAAGATATATGTTGTCCTGTGTGTGATCAATGTTTCTATGATGGAAAGCTGTATGATAACGGAGAAACATTTAAACCAAATGATTGTAAAACATGTTACTGTCGGGTATGTTAGAAATTGGATTTGTATCTTTTGATAAATTTCTCAATGAATAGATTGATATATATAACAATAAGAATGTAAATATTTATAATAATATATATGATAAGAGTGTAATACTATTTAATAATGTAATACTATTTATAATAATGTAATACTATTATTAATGTAATAATATACTAAGCCGCAAAAGAAACGTCAGGTTGGTATGTTACTCTGAATAGACGCATTGCATAAAACTTGCCAAATGTTTTTATTGAATATTTGTGACCACATCTCCAACTTTACCTGAGCAATAAGGCTCCTTCCCAAACACAGAATTGAACCTAGGAAACGTTCTCAAAAAGGCAACCTGATTTACTGGATGATAATGTGTTCTCCATGATTTTCATGTAACTCATGCTGCACATGCTGTTCACCGGGACCAACCCTATAAAATGCACCCCCATACCTGGTTGAATCATTCACACTACAACGTCAGCAGCATGCCACGACTCACGACAACTCAGAGGAACCAGGCGCTTTGAAGACTTGACACTGGCCACACTGCCCAAGCTGTTGCCAATCACATCCAGGTCAATGTTCGGACCATCTACAGGCTTCAGCAACGCTTTTGGGCCACCAACACCACAGATGATCGCCCCCGAACTGGTAGACCAAGGGTTACCACCAGGCGACAACAGCGCCATGTTGTGCGACAGCACGTGCAGAATCCCTTCACACAGGCATCTGAGACAGCACGTCAGACAGCGAGAACACACGGACGACCCATCAGTACCGATACAGTGCACCGATGTCTCACCAGAGAGAACATCCATTGCCGTAGACCTTACCATGGACCGATCCTCACTCCTCGCCATCGACGTGAACATCTACAGTTTGCCCAACAACACCAGAACTGGTGACACAGGCAATGGAGAACTGTTCAGTTCACAGATGAGAGTCGGTATTGCGTATCAACTGCAGCTGGCAGGACCAGAATATGGCGTCGGACGTGGCCAGTGTTATTCTGACCAATGTGTCATGGGACGAGACTCATGGGGAGGTCCAAGCATAATGGTTTGGGGTGGAATCGGCTTGGACCAGAGAGTGGGTCCTGTGGTGTTCCAAAATTTTGATCCAGGGAGAGGAGGCGGCATCACAGCAGTGCGCTAAATGAATCAAGCTCTCAGACCCCACGTCATGCCACATTTCGCATGTCATCGAAACGTTTTCCAGCATGACAACGCCTGTGCCCACACCACCAGAGTTGCTCGGCACTTTCTACAGCAGAACAGTGCCAACGTTATGCACTGGCCAGCTCTTAGTCCGGACTTAAACCCAATTGAACATCATTGGGGTGAAATTCAGAGGAGACTTAATAACGTCTTACCGATACAAAACACAGCCGATGGATTGTGCCAGGCTTTTCTGAGAGTGTGGTTCCAGGTGCCAATGGCGTTCATCAATCGTCTGTTCCACTCCATGTACAGACGCTGTGCTGCTGTTATTGACACTCGCGGTGGACACATCAGATACTGATGTCTGTGTACAGACTCTAAACCTTCTCGTAATGTCTTGGAATTGTGATGAATTAATCACTAATGTGTCAACATACTGTTTATAAAAAATTGCTTTGATCCATTTAGTAAGTCGTTTTCTAGAATGATTTGATTAAAGTGTCTCTCTGATTTTTAAATCGTACTGACATTATTTTTGCTGTTTAGTATATTTAATAATGTATTAATATATAAATAATATTTAATAATGTAATAATATTTGATGATAGGATGGTAATGTAGCATGTGATGAAGAAAGATGTTTAGTATTACCATGTGCTATGTCAGAGAAGATACCAGGTCAATGTTGTCCAGTGTGTAAAGGTAGGAATTTTATAAAACATGTGATGTATTTATTAAGATACTTTCCGTCGTTTTTTAACTATTTCGTGCATCAAGCAAGAAATCATTGTTTTTATACTCCCAAATTATTGTGGCTGCTGTTCAGTGTTCAGTGTTCACCCACACATTCCACCATTTATATTTATAAATCTTGTTGGAACAACATGCTCCTATTGAGGAATTTAAGGGTCTATTAAGTCCTCTGTACATGTTCTGTTCTTCTAATAGATTGAACTGTATCAATCTGGTTAAAACACAGATCCTATTTCGTTTCGTTTTTATAGTTCAAAATTTCGTTTTACTTGTCTTTACCACACTTGGATCTGGAAGAGTTGTTATTTAACTGGTGTTCTGAATGGTGTCAGGGATTAGCCAATGAAATGGTCTGTTACGGCGAGCTTTAGGCGTGTTTTTCACGGAACTGTGGGTAATCCACTAGTAACATCAATTCTGATTGGTTAATCAAATGTCTGACGTCAAAAGGGTTATTAGTCGGTCTTTTGACCCCTGACGTGACCTATGGCTATAACTTGTCAGATCTTCATGTAGTGTAGGCCATCGAAAGTATAAAAAAACAAAACGAAATATAGATCTGTATTTTAATCAGATTGAAACTGTATAGTCACTGGTTACTGGTTAATTTGTTGTCTTTTAGGTTATATGTATTATTTTAATGTATTTAGTATAGGTTGTAATTTAGGTTGTATTTTGTATGTATTATTATAAGGTATTTACGTATGTATTATAGGTTGTACATATAAGGGTATACAGTATAAAACTGGTGCTACGTGGATATTACCTGATAATCCATGTGTAAAATGTACATGTCATGGTGGATTAGTAACTTGCATGGAATTAGAATGTTTTGTACCATGTTATAATCCTATACAAGTACCGGGTCAGTGTTGCCCTGTATGTCCATGTAAGTACAAAATCCAATTCAAATCTAATCACCAGATTTTCTTACCTCTAATAACAAACATTTTTTAAAGTTCTTGTTGCTGCTTTTCTATAATGATTTCAACTGTAATACCAAAATGGTTGTATCTGGTCAATCAAAAATTTGAAAACTGAAATATATAGAAATTTACAGAAAAAAATGCCCAACTATTGCATAAGGTAAAGAGTTAGCTGACTTTGATATGCAGCAGAAGTTATCTGAATTGAACTTGATAAATGATTTAGCTTATTCTGATGTTCACTTAATTTTATAACATACCAGTATCTTCATACTTTAAGAAATATTTTTCAACCCATTCTAAATCAATGACAACTTTGATGGAAGCTTTCATTAGTTTAATTATAGGCTTGCACCAGATATATATTAGATGTTGTATGATCTGATCAATAGATCAATGTTAGGCCACACAAAATAAATGTCTTGTTTCTCGGGCAACTGACAGCTGAAACTGTAGGGAGGGAGGGCGGTTTCTTTTTTTTTTTTACTCATTGATGGTGCAAAATAAAATTTGGCTATTGCTGAAAATTGTTGGGGCGGGAGGGCGGTCTTTCTTTTTTTTTTTTTTTTAAATGAGAAAGTCATTACTTGTTTACGTTTTTGCTTTCCGTTATATTCAACTTTATTGTACATACTTAAAACATAAACCCAAAATCAAGTCTACTAAAACACTGAGACTGAACACTGACTGAAAGGAAAATAATTTTCCATATTTAATTCACATAATTGAAATTGGTTTAAAATAAAATTCCATACGACTATGTAATAGCCCTCCATAAAGACAACAATATTTTTAAAAACTAAGCCTCTTTCACCAGGTGTATCAAAAATAATAATCATGGTAAACAGTATTTAAAACTAAATCTAGTATCGCCGGTTTATTTATAATTATTTACCGAATTCCAACCAATGCATGTCACACCGTGTCATCGGTATTGGAGATTGCCGGAAATACTGTTTCTTGGGATATTCGGTGTGTTTCTCAGGATATTCGGTGTTCTATCCGGTGTTTATATTGAATGACTATTTAAATCTAACTAACAACTGGTCAGTAAAACCATCAAATCGGTAATCCAATTATTATTTTCCGGATTATCGAAACTACCGTAAATGTGCTAATAATGACCCAGATTCTAAGGTATGCATTATGACGACTATCGTCATCGTATCGTATTCTTAGCTATAATTAATTAACCTGTTCTACGGTTCATTATTTTATCAATAGGATTTTCCAAACAAGGACCGACTGAAGCCGGCAATAATGAGCCGATTACGATCGAATGATTGAAATATTGTCGCCAATGACTTTTAACACGAATCAAATTCTAGTTTATCAGGGGAGGTAATTAATATCACGTGATACAAAATGGAGGTTCTTTCGATATCAATAAAAAAGGCAAATCTGCCAAACTTCGCCATTGTTCGGATAAAAAAGACAGCATGTTCATCTGAATCAGTTTTAATACATTTGAATAGATATACATGTATGGCGGATGTAGGTACATGCGGGATATTTTTTTTACGACTTGCTTGTCGATGTGCGGGCGGGCGTTACATATTTATTTTTTTTCATCAAGACTAATAAATAGACTGCACGCGCAACCAATTTTGCGTGCGGGCGGTGCCCGAGAAACAAGTTATTTTATTTGTGTTGCCTTATATATTGTTTTCTTTTATTATACAGCATGTAAATATAATGGACGTGATTATGGTGATGGTGAATTATTTACTCCGAATGGAGATCCGTGTGATTCATGTAGTTGCCAGGTATGAGTCATCACTGATATATTTATTTGCTAGTATTTTACAACAGGTGGTATGAAAATGCATAGTTCACCTTTGTGCACATTGGCAGCACATAAAAAAATTCAATAGGCAATTGGAAATCGAAGAAGGTGGAAACATTACTGTCCTTCATGCTTTGCACCCATTTCCTATGAAAATAAAAGATTAAAAATCACACACATCTGTTATTTAATTGAGACTTTATTGTTAAATTAATGAGTTAAGATATAGTTATATTTGATGTGTTTTTCTATGTTTTCTAGGATGGTAATTTACAATGTTTACGGGAAACTTGTCCAAATGTAGCTAATTGTCCACCAGAACAACTTGTACCATCACAAAATGGTGATTGTTGTCCTACTTGTGCAGGATGTAAGTATACAAATTGGTGGGATATAGAACACCTTATATCACTTCTCTTGTTTTGTTAATAACTTATGTTGTACTTTGTATTTCTCAAATTAGATTTGTTAGTATTTCAGTAAAATAATGACTGTTCTCCACTGATCATTCAACATTATTCTGTGATACACATCTGTAATTTTTGTATCTGATTTATTTTAGTTGGAACAAATTGTACAAGAGTTGATCTAGGAATGGTAATACGACCTCGACCTGAAGATCCATGTTTTTATTGTGAATGTAAGGATGATTTTAATTGGTTATGTATGAAGGATCAGTGTCCGCCATTGAGTTGCCCACCTGATGTACAGATAAAGGAGAAAGGAAAATGCTGTTCATCTTGTCCATGTAAGTTGTACAGAATTGAGAGAGGATTGGACATTGGGATTTTTTATATGTTGTGCATGTGCATATTTTTAAGAAAGTCAGTCATTTGATAATATTTTATGGAGAGATTTCAACTATAAGATATTCCACATATCACAATCAGAATTTTCTCCTTTAGGAGACTCCATTTGAAAAAATTACTATGTGATGATTGTTGTTTTATTTGTTATTTGGGATGCTTTAGATCAAATGAGTCAATTGGCATGGTTTTGATCTAGCTGTAGGGTAGTCTACCCAACCTCATGGGATTTCTCCAAGTTTCCTCCTGCTGCTAAAGACCCAGGTGCAAGCAAATTATTGAAATATAAGGTCCGAAATGGCCTGGTTTGTGTTGAGTGGATGTTTAATCCCCACTTCTCTCTTTTTAATTGATATTTGATCTATATTATTTTTTATCTCTTTAGCATGTTTTGATGAACAAGAAGGTAAATACCATAATGAAGGAGATAGTTGGTTATCATTAGATAATCCTTGTGTTAACTGTGAATGTCACGTAAGTAAAAATACACAAATTTATAAAATATGCAAATTTTTACAAGGATACTCTTGTCTGTAACAAGCAAATGATGCATAAAATTGTACCATTTGTCAATGTGTTCTATTGCAAAATCTAGTTTCCTCCCAAGGCTAAAGATCCCTATGCGCAAGCAAGTTATTGAAATAAAATTGAACGATGTTAGTCCCAAAATGACCTAGTTTATTTCCAGTATACGCTAAACTCCATTTCTCTCTCAATTGTAAAACATGCCTATCAGAGAAGTAAATTTACATGGTCTGTAAAACTTATTGAAAACTCAGTATATAAAGGTAATCCACTTACTTTTATTTTGGGGGATGAGGTGGACTGTTGACAACAATATTAATAACAATATTAAATTAGGAAAGAACTTATATAGGCTTTGCCTGTTGTTCAATCCTTTTCAAATGAATAAAATATTGTTTAAACTAATATCATATATGTATGCATACAGTATTACTATTTATTTTATATGTACCTACCATTTTATATATATGAATCGCATGTGGATTGAAATGGATGTTGAGATACATTAAAATCTTATCTTATTTTGATGGAAAAATGGAGTCTTGATACCTCATCATCACAATTCTCTACAAAAAAAATAATCAGATATTGTATCACACTCTTCATATGACTTATTTTTATTGTTTTTATTTAGGATGGTTTAAAACAGTGTAGTACTGTAGATTGTCCACCATTATTTTGTGGTGTGAATGAACAGATTATTAACCAACCAGATTCATGTTGTGGTGTCTGTCAACCAATGAAACTAGTAGAATGTTTCTATGTAGGAAGGAGATATGAGGTATGATTTGGATATATAACCATACTGAAGTAGACCTTGTGTCAACTTACAATATGATTATTAACAATTGATACAGCAGTTGATTTTATCCATAAAAAAATGGCGTACTAGTGTTGTGCATTGTCAATATACTAGTTCTTAGTGAGGCGGCGAATTAAGCCATCGCCTGCTAGTGCTTGGTCCATGCGCAAATACACCCATGCATGGACCAAGCAGGCAATAGCACAGTCAGGCATTCCTAGTCAAAAGTGTTGTCATAGCTATATTTAATGACATCGTTTAGTGTAAGTTTACCTTTACCTGTAATTTCCCAAATACCAAGATTTTCGGTTTCATACAAACTAACCATGACGTTATTCTTATAAATGACAATCCCGTAACTATTTTTTGTATCATCTAGGCTTCCTAAAATATATTACAAAATTAATGTAACATCAGGGCTTACAATAATTTTTGACATGATGATACAGTGTCACCAGTAGTTTAAATGTAAAGCAATGAATTAAAAATACTTTTCTACATCTATTCAACTGCCAGTGCTTAATAAAACATCATCCAGACTTTCTTGGGTAGCTTAATCCACTCTTTGGTTTATGAAATAACTTTATCGCAGGTTTTCTCAGTGAAACTCAAGAACTTTTCCTGTAGTTTTTTGGTCTAAATGCACTAAACACCTAATTTTCTCGGTTCTCAAATCTGATTATGTCTTTTCTGGAAAGGACGCCTTATCGCTGAATCCGCGACAAAATGAAATCCTAAATTAAGAAAATAAATTGGATATCTGTTAGCAGGTTTTTCGTGAGTGGGACCTCGTTTTAGTAACTTGGATACTTTATTGAATTTTTAAAAATGGTTTTAGCCACAAGGCCGATGGGTGGAACAAAAAGTCATAATAATCTGGCCTAGCTTCTGGCCTATAACTAAGATAACTAGAACAACCTTTAATGTTCACTTTAACAAATACAATCAAATTTTAATGTATCATGCATAGGGGTTGCTCCATCAATGGGATTGATCATGTAAAATGCAGCGGAGTAACTCAAATTCTATTACGAAGATCGTGGACAGAAATGTGCATCCCATACCCGATTGATCCGTGTTATTCTACTTTTCTAGTCAAAGGTTGAACTCTTCTTTCATAATCAATAACTTACTTTCCTCAATATGCAGCCGTTTTGAAGGGTTGAAAAAATATCATCATTCCCTGCCCTATGGGCTGCTGCTGAAAAGTAGTGCCCTGAATTTGATATGGGTCGCTATGCAACAATGACTACTCGCCATGGGGGGGAGGGGGGCCAGGTGTCCAGTCATAGGGCGTGGCTCCCATTTGTTTTCTTTGAAAATAAATTTGTACAGAAGCAAGATGGAATTTAATGTACATTAATTTAAATATATCTGTGGTCCATGTACAGGGACTAGGACTTCACTATTTTCACATTCACAGATATTCTTAAATAAACTTGGTTTTCTTCTAGTAGAATGTGTACATTGTCATATACCAATGATCGGAACCTGTGTACAGTTTTAATATACATTTATATTATAGCCTGGTGAAGAATGGACAGTTGATGAATGTACTAAATGTCAGTGTATAGGTGGAGAGGTTAAATGTACAAGTCAACATTGTTTACCTACAGAATGTCGACCTAATGAAGTGCCTTCTATAAAACCTGGTAATTGTTGTCCTGTCTGTGAACAAAGTAAGTTCTATATTATCATGCACCTGAAAAGTGATCAATTTTGTTATAATACTGAAATGACATTATGATGTACGGGGAACAAGTGTATATTTTCCGCAAATAGACATCCTTTCTTGTTTTGATGTTCAGCTAGGATTTATGTTAAAATGTCTGTGTAGGAAGTTATAATTGAGTACATAATATTTCAGAGCATGGTAATTATTTTGTACCCCAATATTTGGATTGTGTGTGCTATATTTCAGAGCCTGGAGGATGTCTAATAATTTGATTTTGTGTGTTATATTTTAGAGCCAGGTAGCTGTCTAATATTTTGACTTTGTGTGTTATATTTCAGAGCCTGGTATTTTGATTTTGTATGTTATATTTCAGAGCCTGGTAAACGTCTAGTATTTTGATTTTGTGTGTTATATTTCAGAGCCTGGTAGTTGTCTAGTATTTGGAGATCCACATTATAGAACATTTGATGGTACAACATTACATTTTCAAGGACAGTGTAAATACATTATGGCTGCTGATTGTGAAGCTGATAGTTTCAGGTACAATACAAACATTTTTCCAAAACAAAACAAAAACAACAAAAAATTACACCTTTAAGAATAGTCAGAGATTGAAGTGAGGAATAATTACCATTACATATTTCATGAAGAGAATTTTGTTTTATAAAATGGAAAATATGATTGTGCTCAGCCAATGAATATCTGCTTGGGTTTCTTCCCAATCTTATGAATGAAATGATTTTACTTCCATATAAATCAAAGCCATGTTGCAGAACATAGCTTATGATGCAGACAGTTTTGTTTATCGTAAAAAAAATATACCTTGCCTCTATACTATATTTTCAGTGCAATGGTGCTGATGTGACATAAACTTCATTTCTTTCTTTTTATTTTCAGTGTAGAGATACAACATGATAATCGTGGTGTTGCTGGTGATGTTTCCTGGGCTCAAAATTTTACAGTTAAAATTGCTGGTTTGACTATAGACCTTCTACAAAAACATGCAGTTCAGGTAAGTATCTGTTTTATTTCAACTATGTCACTGTAGGTTTCCACAAGAAATGTTGATTTCAGATGTAGTGCCACGTAAATCTGTTGTAATATACAAAACAAAAAGAATATTAATCTTGGTAAGGGCTGTGTTTCCTGAACTTTTTGTAAGATTATTTTAATGTTATATCTAATAATAGTTTTCATGTATTTAACGATTGTATTAAAACTGCTTGTTGTTTGTTACCAGGTCAATGGAGAAAGAGTATTGCTACCATATTTATATGAACCACATGTACAAATAGAACTTAGTGGTAATACAGTTTTACTCAATACAGATATAGGAATGAGGGTAAGTTAATAAAAACTTATATCAAACATAGAATATTATTAATCAATGTAAGGGTCATTTTGGGCACACTTATTGTTCTACTTTAAAGATAATGAATTTCTACCTTTTAACAATTTGTAATTGATTGTAAATATTAATATTTGGTGTTAATCAATTATCTTTAATTTCCCTCATTGCACACTGTATGGCATATGCCCGTCTTCATTAGCCCAGTTTAGGAGCAGAACAGTAGGACGTTAAACCCCATTTCATTTCATTTGTATCTATTTTCAATCCAGTTCTAAAGTGCATACAGAAATTTGAGTCTTAAAATTCTAATACAGTATGGTTATAAGGCCTGTTTCCCATGTGCACGTTTTGCAGTGTTTCCATGTGCATTTTCGCTGCCAAAAAATTGGTCTAATGCAAATATAATGGGATTTTTTCCCATGTAATCGGCAAAAACATGTACATGGAAAACAGGCCTAAATGTAAAGAGGTGTGCTGGATTTTAGACTGTAACTGTTCAAATTACCTTAGAACAATTACAATCAGGTGATACAGTTGGCACATGATATGTTGTCCAGTATTTTCATGTTTATTTGAATGTCATTGTTCATGGGATTGAGATAATATAATTCAAGAACATTCAATTGAGTACCCACTAGACTTGTATGTACCAGGTATTTTTACAAAGTGGCATAAGTTTCTGCATATTTCATGGAACTATTTGATCAATCATCTGAGTAGATGATCAGTGAAACATCTTTGAAACAAGTAGTGAAGGTTTCAAATTTTTATTAACAAAGATATGCATTTTTATATGCTGACATTTTCATGTGGACGTATTATGCCACTGCCCCTGTCTGTCTGTCCGTCCGTCCACAATTTGTTTGTGGACACTCTACAGGTCACAATTGGCATGTATCGGACCATAACTTCTTGGATTATGGCCTCGGATTGTACGAAAAATCATGTTTTTAGCTTATGGTCACAATTTTCATCTGATTTTGATGAAACTTGAAATGCATGTTTATAACCCAAAGATCTTGGTTCCTTTCGATAGTCGTGCATATCGGATTTTAATTTCCTGAATTATGGCCCCTGATTGTACGAAAAATCATGTTTTTAGCCTGTGGTCCCTCTAGAGGTCACAATTATTAAAAACCGTTCGAATATACGCAAATTGTGTAAATATATGGTATATCAAGGTTATATGGACCCTCTTGAGGCCACAAATTTGATTCGTTGTTGAGGAAACGTTAAATTTATGTTTATATCACAAAGATCTTATGTCCTTTCGATAATCGCGCATATACGAACCTAACTTTCTGGATTATGGCCCCTGATTGTTCAAAAAATCGCATTTGTAGCTTGTGGATCCACTAGAAGTCACAATTTGTATTCTATTATAAAAAAAACGTTTAAATACATTTTGTGAAAATCAGACCGAAACCGCTTGACAAAATGGCCGCTCCTTGTACGCAAAAAGTGTAAAATTATGTAATACCAAGGTTTTGGACCCTCTAGAAGTCACAATTTTTATCCGATTTTGATGAAACTTAAAATATATCTTTATATCCCAAATATCTCAATCCCTTTCTATATGTGTGCATTTCAGACCATAATTTCCTGGATTATGGCCCCTCGTTGTGTCCGTCCATCCGTCTGTCACACTTTTTGGGACACAATAACTCTCCTTCTAATTGAGCTAGAATGTTCAAACTTGGTGTAGGTGTTTATTAGGTCAATTCCCTCCTTGATGGAGTTCGAAGATGGGCATATTCTGCTTTGGGTAAGCGGAGATAAGCAATTTGATTGGTTGATGCTTTGGGACATGATAACTTTAGTTCTAATTAAGTGATAGTGATGAAACTTAGTGTATAGTTTCATTACATCAATACCTTGACTAAGTTCGATAATTAGCATTTTTTGCTCAGGGTAAGCAGAGTGATAAGCAAGGTCAAGAATTTGGAACCCAATAACTCTCATTCTAATTGAGCTAGAATGTTCATACATGGCATAGGTTTTTATAAATTAGGTGAATGCCTTGATGGAGTTCAATGATAAACATTGTCTGCTTACTGTAAGCAGAGATAAGCAATCTGATTGGTTGATGCTTTGGGGCATGATTACTTTGGTTTTAATTAAGTGAGAGTGATGAAACTCCAAGTATAGATTCATTATATCATTACCTTGACTAAGTTCGATGATGAGAATTTTCTGCCTAGGCTAAGGAGCAATAAGCAATTTGATTGGTCAAGACTTTGGAACATGTTTAAACTTGATGTAGATGTTCATTGGGTGAATGTCTTGACTGAGTTTAATGATTAACATTTCGAACTAAAGCTAAGCAGAGCTAAGCAGTTTCATTGGTCAATGCTTTGGGACAAGATAACTTTGATTCTATCTGATAGAGAGTGATGAAACTTGTCGATTGTTCATAATCAGTTTGGTTGCCTGATACTTTTTAAAAAAATAAATGTGCGATTAATTAATATGTATCATTTATTTATTTTGGGATTTCGGCGGGGGACATCAGCCTCACTGTTGGCTTGTTTAACTTGATCTTTATCCATCTCTTGCAAAATGTGGGCGTATCTTGCCTGGCAACCGCTGGTTTATATTTATAGTTATTATGGAATGGAGAGAGTTATGCTGAATTAAGTGTACCTGGTACTATGAAGAGAAAATTGTGTGGTTTATGTGGAAATTTTAATGGCTTCCCACAAGATGATCTGAGAACAAGATTAGGTCAAATAACCAACTCACCGGCTGTCTTTGGTAATAGCTGGAAGGTAAGTAAAACATGTATTAATAATTTATGTTATATTATTAGGAATAATTTAGAATAGAGAATGCCACATGCTAGCAGATCAAAAATACATTATTCCCTGGATTTTATTTTGAATTATGGATATTGCCAATATGAAGCTATGACGAAGGAATTAGTTTGGCTCGGTTCCTTCTTGTGCATAGGACTCAGGTAAAGCAGCATCAGTTTCAGATCTATTTGGATCCCTGATTTCAAATGAAACCAATTTTATGACATCCAAGAATTCATTTATCATGTCACTTTATATCATAGCCTTTATGAAACACTCTGCTAAAAAGCTTTTCAACAAACCTGCAGTTTATTGTTAATATAAATCTTTGATTTGGAGTTGTATTTTCTTTTTGTACTTATTATCATTAGGCCAACTTGGCTTTATAGTCGAAAATTTTGTAAATTAAAAGGTACTGATCCAAACTGGATACTGAGTCAAACTGGAATCTGAGTCAAACTTGATACTTAGTCAAACTGGGTGCCGGTCATATTTGGCGCTGAGAGACAGTAACTTGTATTTTATCTCAATGATGAGTCAGCCATGTGATTTGCCAAGAATGATTATGAAATCCAAATAATGATGTCATCATCATTTTCATTTCAGGCTAAAACTCAATATAAAGATAGCTGTCAAGATGCGAAGGATATTGACCCATGTTTAAAGGTTGGTTACAGAGTTCGAAAATTAGCTACAACAAAATGTGCAGTTATCAAGGTCAGTGTACTTATTTACATTAAAAATTAAATCTTACCATTTTTATACACCCAAATGGAAATGTGGACATATATTGCCATCGCCCCTGTCTGTCCGTCCGACGTCCACAATTTCTTCTGAATGCTCTAACGCCAAAAGTTATCATCCGATTGTTTTAAAATTGATATATGTTGTTTACATTAGTTAGATGAAGAAACCTATTTAATTTCAATAATTTCCATTTGTTGAACCTTGTGAACGCTCTAACATCAATCTGATTAAAACATAGATCCTATTTCGTTGTGTTTTTTATAGTTCAAAATTTTGTTTTATAACGATCTGTTACGGGGAGTTCTTGGCGTACTCTGCATGGAACTGTGAGTAAACCCCTAGAAATGTCAACACTGATTTATTAATCAATGTCTGATTTCATAGGGTCAAAAGCCACTCGTATGACCCCTGACGCTACCTCCCAGTACAACTGATCAGATCTTCATGTAGTGTAGGCCATCGAAAGTATAAAAAAAACGTAACGAAATATAGATCTGTATTTTAATCAGATTGGCTCTAACATCTAAAGTTATCTGCCAATCTGTATGAAATTTATATGCATCATTTAAATTAGTAAAAAGAAGAATCCTATTGAATTTCAGCAATTTCCGTTTATTATGTCTAGAGTTATGGCCTTTGTTTCACTTTGTTGAACCTTGTGAACGCTCAAACACTAAAAGTTATCATCAGATCTGTATGAAATTTATATGCATCATTTAGATTAGTGAAATCACAAATTCTGTTGAATTTCAGCAATTTACAATAATTACTTCTAGAGTTGTGGCCCTTGTTTCACGTTGTTCAACCATGTTAATGCTCGATTGATGAAAGTTATCATCCGATATGTATGAAATTTATATGCATTATTTAAATTTGTGAAACAGAGAACTATTGAATTTCAGCAATTTCCGTCAATTATTTCTAGAGTTATGGCCCTTTGTTTTACTTTGTGAACCTTGTGAATGTTCGAATGACAAAAGTTATTATCCGATCTGTATGAAATTTATATGCATTATTTAAATTAGTAAAACGAAAAAGCCTGTCAAATTTCAAAATTTTCTGTAAATTGCTTCCAGATTTAAGGCCCTTGTTTCAGTTTGTAGAACCTTATGAACCCTCAAACGATAAAAATTATAATATGATCTATATGAAATTGTTTTGTAAATGCCCCAAATTACCTACAAAAGAATAAATATGCGACAACCCATGGTGACCACGTGAACGATTTAGCTGCTGTGGGTGTATGTTTCGTTGCCTGGCAACCTATCTTTATACATCTTTTCATAACTACAAATTTTCCCCATAGCTTCAAAATATACATAATAAATCGAATAAATAAGCTTTAAATTCTGCCAAAAAAATTTCCTTTTATTTAGTAGGTATTTGATTATAAAAAATACCTTATAAATAATATTATATGGATATTTCATTTCTTATTTTCTTTTGGTTCACTGCAAGTCTTGTTGAGCTTATTCAGTAAATACAGTGTGTTGTTGGTCAATTCACAATTAAGAGATGCACCTTGATTGGCAAACAATTGTTGTCTGAAACATTTGATTTGGCAATCAAGGGCCCAAAGAATGATTTTCTAACACTTGTTTTTAGATACTGATTTAGTGACCATCAAATTTACAGAATGAAAATAACGCTCATTTTTAACTAAATTATAAAAAAAAGGATTGAAGGTATAATTATTTAAAACAACAAGTAAAATAGCATGTATCTTTATTTACTTTATGTTACAGAGTAAAGTATTTTCAAGATGTCATCGAGCTGTCTCACCAGAACCATTCTTTGCCTCATGTGTATATGATATGTGTGTTTGTATGGAGAATCCCAATTGTTTATGTGATATTTTGGCATCATATGCTCACGTCTGTGCTAAAGCTGGTATTAAAACACAATGGAGAACCAGTAAATTATGTGGTAAATATCTTTTACTATAATTCTTGCATTAGGCAGTTTAGTCATAGTAAAAGGGTGATATATGAAATACTGCTACATATAAACCTTGTTCTGTTTTGTTTAAAACCAATAGCTCTTGAGAGGAGCAATCGAGTAAAGAAATAATAAGCAAAGTTTGAATAGGTGTTCCTGGTGAAAACAAATCCAATTTGGTGTGGCCTTATTTAACATTTCTAGGAAATTTTTCTGAAGCTTGTGGCTTAAAATCAAGATTAATACCTACTAGCAATTCTCTAAACCAGGTTATAAAAGTGTATTTTGTAAAATTGATTGAACTTCTACAAAAAAGCCCCCAAAACCAGTAATGTTTGATATTGCACCGATAAAAGTAGGTACATACTAATAAAATTCTGTTTATTTCCAAAATATATATAATTATTAAAATCATACTTTATGTAATTTTGCAGCATTTGATTGTCCTGCTGATAGTGGTTTAATGTTTGATGATTGTGGTCCAGCTTGTCCGAGAACATGTGAAAATCTAAATACACCTCTAGGAAATGTCAGTGAGAACTGTTTTAAACCTTGTGTAGCAAGCTGTCAGTGTTCAGCAGATAAAGTTCTTCATGCTGGAAAATGTATAAATCCTAAAGAATGTCCAAATATTAATTCTTAAGATTTTTTTTTATAAACTAGTTACAAATCGATTACTGTTCAATTTTATAACAAATAAGCATTATTTTATTCTACCTCAAGAAGCATAAAAGTGTTAAATACAATCAGTTTATCTGAATTAGCAGGAATAGATAGAAACTTACAAAATGTTGTACCGGTAAGTAAATATAGCGTTTGTCATATTAACATTGTGTATCACTTGGTGTGAAATTAGATCATATTTTTGGAATTAGAACATTATGTCAGGTCATTAAAGTAATGTGATTGTACATGTCATAAAGTCATCAATTGAATGTAGAAAGTAGTGTTGTTTACATCATTTTTTGCTCAAGATCTGTTAAAATGCCTATTTAAGGTCAGATTGATTAATAATTCAAAAGACACTACCTCAAAATTAGCCAAATTTTAATGTTATTTTTAAATATTTACCAAACGATAATACTTAATACAATATTAACTACTGTTTTATATGTTATATCAATGTATTCTTCTCTTATATCAGATCCACCAGAACTAATTCTTCTAAATACTGTTTAATGACAAGTATTACAAAAGTGACAGATATGTTATATATGCATATTCTGAATGTTATCATATCCCAACTTTTTATCTTTTTTTTTTTAAGGAAATCACTTAAAGTTTGAATGTGATGTACACAGAATATGCATATCTATAACATATATTTCCTTGTCGGTCACTTTTTGCTATACTTTGGATGCTATTGACATAAAAAAACGTTTGTATAGGCCTAAAATAGACACCAATATTAACTACTGTTTTATATGTTATATCAATGTATTCTTCTCTTATATCAGATCCACCAGAACTAATTCTTCTAAATACTGTTTAATGACAAGTATTACAAAAGTGACAGATATGTTATATATGCATATTCTGAATGTTATCATATCCCAACTTTTTATCTTTTTTTTTTTAAGGAAATCACTTAAAGTTTGAATGTGATGTACACAGAATATGCATATCTATAACATATATTTCCTTGTCGGTCACTTTTTGCTATACTTTGGATGTTATTGACATAAAAAACGTTTGTATAGGCCTAAAATAGACACCAAATAATAGATACACAATTCGAACCAATTATTATGTTTAATAAAAAGTAAATATAATCTGTCATCAATAACTTTTGTATTAAGATCACTAGCAACATCACAATTTGTAAATAAACTATGTTTATGTTGACAGTATTTTGAGGATGTTAGGAACTAAATAAATAGTTTTTAATGGAAAGCCAGAACTCATAAAGTTCTGTCCATCTATTGAGTTTAGTTGCATTCCAACTAAATATCATGAGTCCCCATCTGTCTTTCTCTTCCTCTGCATTACTTGATTGGTTTTATACCTGTATTTTTAGCATTTGTTTGGTGTTATATGTCCATTAGTTCTATGTTTTAGTGACAAAATTTGAATTTTTAAATGGTAATTTTAGACAAGAACAAAGTAGAGGGTAAATGATATTATAAAAGCGATTTGTTCATTTAAATGGTTACATTATATTCATGAATTATATTATGTGCAATAAAGTTGATGTGCAGTTTTTATTTAACATACTATTTTAAATTTGTAATATAAATGTCAATATTTCAGACAAAGGGTTAATTTAACAAAAATATTGGTTCAAAAAATATTAAGATGGGTTGCCAGGCAATGAAACATACGCCTACAGCAGCTAAATCGTCCGAGCGGTCGACCAGAGTTGTCGCACATTTATTCTTTTGTAGATAATTGGGGGCATTTATTTACAAGACAACTTCATTCAGACAACTGAAACAAGGGACTTCAGTCTGGAAGTAATTTACAGAAATTGTTGAAACTTCGACCAGTTTTTTGTTTACTAATTCAAATAATGCATTTACATTTCATACAGAAATAATTTATAGATATTGCTGAAATTCAATAGGCTTCTTCATTTCACTAATTTAATGATGCATATAAATTTCATATAGATCGGATGATAACTTTCATCATTTGAGCGTTCACAAGGTTCAACAAGGGCCATAACTACAAGTAATAATTTGATATTGCTAAAATTCAATAGGATTCCTCGTTTCACTAATTTAAATGATGCATATAAATTTCGTACAGATCAGATGATAACTTTCATCATTGGATGTTCACAAGGTTCAACAAAGCTAAACAAGGGTGATAACTCTAGACGTAATTATTGGAAATTGCTGAGTCTGTGTCACTAATTTAAATGATTTGTTTAAATTTCATACAGATCGGATGATAACTTTTGTTGTTTGAGCATTTACAAGGTGCAACAAAGTGAAACAAGGGCCATAACTCCAGAAGAAATTAATGGAAATCACTGAAATTCAAAATGATTCTTTGGTTTACTAATTTAAATGATGCATATAAATTTCATACAGATCAGAGGATAACTTTTATCATTCAAGCATTCATAAGGTTCAACAAAGAGAAAAAAGGGCCATATTTCTAGAAGAAATTGCTGAAATTAAATAGGCTTCTTCTTTTCACTAATCTAAATGATGCATATATATTTCATACAGATCAGATAATAACTTTTCTTGTTAGAGCATTCACAAGGTTCAACAAAGTGAAACAAGGGCCATAACTCTAGAAGTAATTAACGGAAATTATTGAAATTAAATAGGCTTCTTTATCTCACTAATGTGAATAACATACATCAATTTTAAAACAATTGTGGAACTTGTGGACGACGGCAATATACGTCCACATTTCCATGTGTGTGTATAAAAATCAATCAATCCTAACAGCAATCTGATTAAAATACAGATATATATTTCGTTTTAGTTTTTATATTTTCTTTGGCCTACACTACATGAAGATCTGGCCAGATGTTTTGGGAGGTCGCATCAGAGATCATACGAGCAGCTTTTGACCCTCTGACTCAGACATTTGATTAACCAATCAGCATTGATGTTTCTAGTGAATTACCCACAGTTCCATGCACCTCGCGTCTAAAGCTCGCGGTAACAGACTGTTTCATTGGCTAATCCCTCACATCATCCAGAACCCGTCAATGATAACAACTCTTCCAGATCCTAGTGTAGTAAAGACAAGAAAAACAAAATTTTGAACTATAAAAAACGAAACGAAATAGGATCCAGCTAAGTCGCCTGGGCAGTCAACAACAGTTGTCGCATATTTTTTTTTTTGTCGGTAATGAAACATTTATAAAAACACTAAAATTAGCAAATCATTAGAATTTGTATGGCTTCTAGTTCTGCCCCATGCTAAAATTTAATATACAAAACATTTAATATCATGGATTTAGCTGTTCAAGTTATCAAAAATTATCGGAAATCGTTGAAGATGAATAGCCTTCTCTGTCTTGTGAACTTAAACACCCTGTATAATTTTAAAGTCAATCAGACTTTAGCCTCTAGCGTCCACAAGATATTTAAAAGTGATCAAGGGCCATAACTCTGGCGGTAATTATTGGAAATCGTTGAAAATATATAGGTGCCTTCGTCTCATGACCTGAAACACTGTGTATAAATTTAAAGTCAATCGAATATTAACTCTGGCAGTAATTATCAGAAATCTTTGGAAATCAATAGGTTTTTTTTTCTCATGAGCTTAAACACTGTGTATTAATTTTAACCTTTAGAGCATCCACAGACCGATGGAAGGGGGCAACGACAATATACGACCACATTTTAATGTGTGCTATAAAAATTCCATTATTTAAACCTGGCAATCTCACTGACAAAAACTTTTCTTTTTCACTCAAATAATACTGCATGTATTCTTGTGTACAATGCAAGCATAAGAATACAAGCATTTCCGTTAAAGATACATTATGGGAGATTCGATAACGAGTTGGCAATTCTCACTATAATAATTAAAAACTAGATAATGTAAAGGCAATTTGCTGAAAATTTCATTCAAATTGATCCACTATGAACTGAGAACTAAGCGATTGAAATTTCTGCCTATAGCCTGGTCATCATTACTAAAGTCAGTACAATAAACAGCATAGTCTCCATTATCCATTTAATCGTGAAGGAAAATTATGCAGTAAATCGGCTCATAATACACTAAAGTTCACAGGCTAGCGATGCCATCTAGAGTTGATTATGGTCTGGATATGTTAATTAATGTCTTATTAATAATTTAGATAACATTTCAGGCCTAAAGAAAGACCTGCAATAGACAGATTTAGCTCTTGCATAATGTATGTTAAACATAATCTGGAATTCAGAAGGATTGTGCATTACCGATGTGTATGCTGGACCTTGTGTTTTATCCCACCTAAATGACTATACCCTCTTTTCATGTTAGTCCCTGAGAAAATATCCCTGACAAGCAGGAACTAGATTTGAAAAATGTCTCCTCAGTCTGGCCCCAGTTTCAAAAACCATTCTCAGACTTTAGTTTAGAATTTACTCAACTTTCAATCACTGTTTATGAGAAAAATCTTTGATCTAGTATCACAAAAATTTGCAATAGTTTCTTATTGATGTATTTGATACTTTAAGACAACAAAAGTTTTTAAAGGGGCAATATTTTACTTAAAATAAGGAGATAAACCCTTTGCACCTAGAAATGGACACAAATGGGTAGCAACGCATATAATAATGTAATATGAATGTATATAAACTGATTTACATTCAATAGGTTCTGTTTTTACTGTAATTTCTAATCAGATATGTTTGGAGAAATATGCAAAGAGTGCAAATTGAATGGCAGTCATTGGCATCTGGTAATTCCAGTCTACTCCAGTAGTATATAACCTGATTTACATTTAATCGTTTCATTTTTTACTGCAAATTGAATGGCAGTCTTTGACATCTGGTAATTCCAGTCTACTCCAGTAGTCTTCCCTTGTGGGATATGTTTAGCCTCGTTCATCCAGTCACTTCATTACAAATGGCACTCGAAAGCATTCTAGCACGCGATTTGTATGCCAAGTTTAAAATTTTCACCATGTCTTAAATATTGGATGCCAGGGGCCTGTTTCACGAAATTTTAACTAAGATAAAATCCAAATTTTAGTAATTTGATTGGATAATATTGGGTTGATTTTAGTGCTTAGTCAATCAAAATTGAAGTATCTACTAAAATTTGTATTTTATCTTTGGTTAAGATTTCGAGAAACAGGGCCCAGAAGCCCATCTTTTCACAGTAATATAACAACATCAATGTTGATTTAAATTGACCAGTAAGTTGTGTTTGCATTGTCAGTTAAAGAGTTAGCTACTTTAAGTCTAAGAATGTTTTGTGAAACAGAGGCTTGGACATTGACTGAAAACCTCTGAGTTCATTGTCCTAACCCCATGAATACTACAACCCCATATATTATATTCACATGTAAAGCTGTCTGTTGGCAATGTCTTTTGGCAAACAGAATTAAGGTGATAAAACTTTGATAATTGCAACATGTCCTTTAGTCTTGTTTGTTTCAAATGCTCAATCAAAATTGAGATATTTTAAATAAAATATTCTAAAGGAAAATAAATTCGAGAAATATAAAAAACAAATTAGCTTAATCAGCTAAAGAATAACAAGATTGTTTATAATAAAACATAACATTCTTTATTTCAGATATATAACCACTTGTCAGCACTCAATCTGCTGTTTAAACTTACCTCATCACTATTTTTCTTTTTTTTTGTCTTTAAAAAATATGGCCAATAATAAAATAAATACATGTATCTTAAGGTGGCATCTGTACAATTTTAAGATAAACTATTAAATTTCCTAAAACAAATCCAGTTTTACATTGTAATTTAAGGTTCAAAAAAAATAAATCTAAAATAAATTTTTAAAAACATAATTCCAAGCAAAATTTTTATATGTAATGTCTTTTAAAGACAATAATGGCTATCAATAAGTTGTAACTAATAAGCCACACTATGAACTAGTAGTGCTTGAAATTTCCCATTGCTAAGCACTTATACTGAACTTAAATAAGACAAGTTTTATTTATAATTTCTCTAATCAAACACAGCAGCTTTCTTTACGACACACCTATCTTTAAAAAAAATATTGACTAGAAAACTGATGGAGAAGCACTATATATACAATGTTTGTTTTCTACAACACTAACAATGTAGGTAGTTAAATTACCTATAATTATATATCATAAAATAAATTATACTATAAACATAATCTAGACACTTTCCTCTTTTAACATTTGCCATTTTGCCAATCTATGTAATACAAATTCATAATTCATAATTACCATGCATATTAATATGACCAAAAGTTTCAAAATCTACATCACTTGTAGCCCCATGTTGATGTAATATCTTAATAATCATTTCAATTTCGAAACCAATCATATATCTCTCTTTTTCATAATGTAGAACAACCAATTCTTGTGTCTATTTCCCTATTACAAAGGTGCTAAATTTTCACATCTACTCTAAATTCATACCTCATCTAAACAAGCCATAGAAATAAAATATCAAAATAAAACAAAGATCGGTTGCCAGGCAACAAAACATGCCCATAGCAGATAAATCGTATGAGCCGTCCATAAAGGATGTCACAATGTCAATCATTGTATAAACCAGATTGTTCAAAAAGATCAAGGTCAATAGGAGTCTCTGTCTCATAAACACCAACACTGTGTATAAATTTCAAGTCAATTGATTGATAACTTTATCCTCTAGAGAGAGAGAGAAATGGGGTTTAACGTCCACTCCACACAATCTAGGTCATTTCGGGACTAACACATGGGTCAATTTTATTTCAATAATTCGCTGGCACGTAGGGGTCTTTAGCAGTGGGAGTAAACTGGAGGACCCTGAGAAAATCCACAAGGTTAGACAGGCAACCCTACTCCTTGTCACGTACAACCGGGGAATCGAAACCCTGCCAGTTGACTCAATGACAGATCTTATGATACAGCGCGCACATGCTAACCATTTGGCCATCCAACCCCGCTAGCCTCTAAAGAGGCCACAAGATGTTTCGAATTGATCAAGGTTGATAACTCTGGCAGTAATTATCAGATTCATTGTCTCAAATGTATAAATCAATCAGACGATAACTTTACCCTCTAAGTGTCCACAACATGTTTCAAATTGATCAATGACAATAACTCTCAACAGTAATTATCGAAAATCGTTGTATTGTGGGATGACGGACAGGGATGAAGACGATAATATACGACCACATTTTAATGTGGGTACATAAAAACCTGTGATTAAGGTGGGATCGTATTACATTTTTAATAGAATCAATATATTTATAATCTGAATAATAAAATATCTTATAGGATGATTCATTATATGTGAATATTTAGAATTCAAAATAATCACTGACAATAGACATTAAGTATATACAGTAAATAATGAGCAACATGATCACCGAACTACCACATAAATCTAAGTCATGGTAAAAAAAACCAACCCAACATGATACAATCTATCAATCTATATTCTCCCAAGACCTTATTTGTTTTAAATGCTATAATAAATATGAGCATTAAGATAACTTATTACCCTTTCAGTAGAGTAGATGTTTTTAAATATTAATAAAATATTGATTAACATTAAAAGCATTCATGGAATTATCAAGATACACTATACATGTACTTTAATTATAATATACATTTATAAACAGAGTACAACCAAAGGGAGTAGATACTGTGATTTATACCATGTGACCAATCCCTTCATTATTTCTCTCAAAATATACACAATATAAGGTCTTGAAAACTGACAGTTTATGTAAAATATATGGTGACACAGTAAGTAAAATAACAGTTTGATATACATATAAAGTTATAATAACCATTTAACAAGTAACAAATCTTCTAATCCAAAAATAATCCTTTTCTTAATAAATATCACATTGGCTAGCTATATACTCTTAACAGATAAACTGATGCTATTTTACAACCTTTAGATAACACCATTAGAAAAAAAAGAGTAAAAATGAAGTAAATATGTGCCTAGAAATATTTATTAAATAAAAAAAGTGACTATTTTGACATATCCATAAAAAATAGAATTTAAATGTGGCCTATTTTCCCCATATAAACCATTAGTATTTCCTTTTTAATTAGCCAATAAAAATTACAGAAGTAATTCAGGCATACATTATTCTTACCATTTGGTATTCTTAGATAAATCTTTAAAATATTTGCTGACATGTACATAAAATTTGCTGATCCTCATTTGCATTATTTTAGACAAAATGTAAGTTTTCACTGCTTAATCCACACTAATTAAATTGTACTCAAATTGATTATCCCACATTTAAATACGGAAACCAAATTAAAATATCAATGTAGCTTATTTATATTCAATCTGATTGAAAGAAAGCCCATCAAAAGATTTTAGCTAACACTATGGTTCTGACCATATACTATAATATTGTCTGCAGTGGATGCCGAATGTTGACAAATTTTAAATTCATCATGTCTTTGTAAATGTTGAACAGAATTAAACCATTTTATAAAACCATATTTTAAGACTGATATTCCTTTTAGAAATTCAACTTTCACCATACTGTAGTTTGCAATGGATCCCGTACCTTTGGAGGCTGGTCTTTCATGGTTGCTGGTCCTTACTTGTGGAACCGGCTCCTCCTGGAGCTTAGAGCTTTGGACAAAATTGATATCTTCAAATCGAGATTGAAGACACACTTTTTCTGTGAAGCCAACTGTGAAAGACTCCTGTTTGACTGGTGTTTGTGTGGTTGAGCATTATAAGTATTTTCATGTATGTATGTATGGATTAAAAAATCCCTCAAATGATGATCAGAGACTTAAAACATGAATCAACTCCCAAAAAATTTTGAAGATTTTGTGAAATTAGTTCTGCATGATTACCACAGTAATTTTATGAAATAAAATCATTATTAACATGACCTTACTATTAGAAGTATACTAGTTAACTATTAAACCAATATAAAAACTTGAATTCTACATACTTTACATGCACTATATGATATAAACATAACATAAAAGAAAATAGTGCAGGATATTCAAATTCTAGAAATTTATACAAAAGCAGTGAAAAATTTGAGTCATATATATATTTTATTTTAAAAATGAATGTTTGACTATTTCTGCCCCCGTTGAATGTGATCAAATGTCTAAACCCTGTAAAACTGATGATTCAAGGACAATATTAAACTCATTAAGTGTTTCTATGATGTGAACCAGGAAAACGGTCAGTCTTGGATCACGAAGAAAAGAATTGGCTTCATACATCTGACCTGTTACTGGAGTGTTTGCCATCAATGGCAGCCATTTCTGTAGACAGCGATCTCTGAAACAAAGATGTTGAGAGTGCTAAGAAAAAATTTCCAACAAAAAATCTGACATTTTTGCTATTTTAAAACATCTATGAACTGATTTGGCATTTACAATAAAGGTCAAAAATGCAATACCTGCAAAAAATTAACCAAGATAGTAAAATTTGGCTGACATAACAGGAAATCAACCTTCTCTGCCAGTACACAAAATGTGAACAACAACACCCGTGGAAAAGTGGAAAACACAGTAGCTAAATTTATGTGACAATATTGAATTTTTCACAGTTTAATCCACATGAAAATGTACTCAAATTCACTAATAATGGTAGATAATCTCTGACTTGGTTTTTAAAAAAAGATCCATCAAAAGATTTCCCGGGACACTGGCTTGTTTTGACCATATCCGATTCGTATCATATGAAGATAACTGTGATAAATTTTCAATTCATTGATCTTTGTAAATACTGAATGGAAATGAACCATATTTCAACTGAAATTCCTCTTAGAGATTCAACTTTCAAAATATGACCGAAGAGCAGTTGGGTTCTAATGAACACTATATTCTTACCTCACACCAACACAGACAAATATTTGAAATTTTCCATCTTTACCAATACTTTCTGTAGCATTGTTGATTTTATTGAGCAGATTACAGAAAAGCCAATAACCTGCTCTTCCTACTTCTGTTAAAGGACGTCTAGTTGCACCACTCAAAGTATTTTCAAAATAAATCTTCACTTTTTCTACAAAACAATAAACAATTATTCACTCACTGAAAACCAAATATGGCAATATTTATAATCGTATTTAGTTCTAATTTACATTCAACTATTGTCTCTTTTGTGTATTATTTCCATGTTGTGCCCAAGTTAATTGCAGCCATTTCCATTCTGTCAAATTCAATTTTTTCTGTTTGAGAGAATTGATCTGCGATGAAAACATTCTAACACAGTGATTCTCAACCGGTGTGCCGCAAGATCTTCCTAAGTGTGTCCCGAAATTTTATACGGCACACTAAGAAAATCTGAAAAACATATGATCCCAATTGAGTATCCACTGATAAGTTCACAGCTGTGTTTTTCTTCATTTAGTTTGAGTGATTCTAAGTGTCTATGACTAGTCTATCTCTACGTTTGTATGCCGTCTGACTTAACCATGTTTTTATTTTGCAAAATTCAGATATTTTTATTTTGCAAAATTCAGATATTTTTCATATATATTTAGTCAGGTGTGCCGCTATTTCTTCATGTGTTCCACGGTGTGCCGTTGGCAAAAAAAGGTTGAGAACCACTGTTCTAACATGTAATCATCGGGATTTGGTGTTGTTACATTCAAAATTGCAAGATTGAAGTATATCCCTCAAATGAGATCTACATTCATCTGTTTATACAAATTGGGAGTTTTTATTGCATCTCAGTCTATTTTGATGGATTTCTGGTTTTGATTTATTACCAATTTCTTTGTTTTTGGATGATCACATGTCCATATTTCATCTTAAAAACATCTTGATAATAAAGTTCTTCCACTGCAGTTTGATGTATAAAACTTATTTTGAGCCAAGCAACAAGTCCATTTATTAAACAGATCACAAAGAAAAAAGATATAAAATATCTTTGATAATGAGTTTTGATTTGCTTTTAAAGATCATTTAAGGATCCATGGCCAATCAGAGAGCTATACGACAGCTATGCTGACAGTGACTTGTGGGCATGCCAAACAGAAAGCCAAGAGGCTCACAATAGTGAAAGAGTTACTTCCACTTGTATCAATACTTACCGAGGTAGTCCCAAATAAACATCTTATTACGAAAAAAACGGGATGAACGGAAGCCAAATTGAAACACCATTTCCATACAATTAACCAAGCCTCGATCACCACATAACAAAAAAGTCAGGTTACCACGCTGAAATTTAAACAAACAGTTAAATGATAACAGACATTACTTTGATTTTAAACAAATTTATTCCAATTAGTTTACATTGTCACTCCAATCAGCTATAAGAATTGATGGGTGTCCCCACACAAAGGGATATAATCCCTTGCGCAGAACATCGGAACATCTAATATCACTTCTCACTTATTCAAGAAGTTCATATATTAAAATACTGTATTACTAAACTATACTCACCTCTTTCTCTGGTTTATAAAAATGTTTGACTAGATTATTAACTGAATGTCCTAACATCTCTTGTATAGTAGGAATACTCACAGGACCTGCGAAATATATAATAATAATATAATTATGTTACATATAATCAACCTAAAACTAAATAACAAAACATGTTCAGTTTGTCATTATAAATATGAAATTATGAAAAATACTAGGTGTGTTTAAAAAATCATTGAAGATGACGGTCAGGTTATCAATTTGTTCATTTTGTTTAATAGGTCAATTACTTTTATCTCTGGTGTCTAAGTTCTGTATAAATGTTTTGCCTTCATGTTTTGTAAGTCGAATTCTCTATTTACTATTTGATCAGATAACCAGCGGCTGCCAGGCAGGATACGCCCACATTTTTGAGAGATGGATAGAGAACAAGCTAACAAGAAAGTGATTTTTCCTACTATCAAGGGCAATAATTCAGGAAATTACAATTCAATATGCGCGAATATCGAAAGGAACTGAGATCTTTGTGTTATAAACTTACATTTCAAGTTTCAACAAAATCGGATAAAAATTGTGACCTCTATAGGGTCCACAACCTTGATATACCATATTTTTACGCTATTTGAGAACGAACGGTGGCCATTTTGTCTGTCAATTTTGGGCCGATTTTCATCCTTAGGGTGTAACGGTGATATAATAATAGGTTTTTTTAAATCGGATAAAAATTATGACCTCTATAGGGTCCACAAGCTAAAAACGTGATTTTTCGTACAATCAGGGGCCATAATTCAGGAAGTTACAGTCCGATATGCGCGAATATCGAAAGGAACCGAGATCTTTGGGTTATAAACTTACATTTCAATTTTCAACAAAATTGGATAAAAATTGTGACCTCTATAGGGTCCACAACCTTGATATACCATATTTTTAAGCTATTTGAGAACGTACGGCGGCCATTTTGTCTGTCAATTTTGGGCCGATTTTCACAAAATTCGAACTCAACCTTCCTTAGGGTGTAACGGTGATATAATAATACGTTTTTTTAAATCGGATAAAAATTATGACCTCTATAGGGTCCACAAGCTAAAAACGCGATTTTTCGTACAATCAGGGGCCATAATTCAAGAAGTTACGGTCCGATATGCGCGAATATCGAAAGGAATCAAGATCTTTGGGTTATAAACTTACATTTCAAGTTTCAAAAAAATCGGATAAAAATTGTGACCTCTATAGGGTCCACAAGCTAAAAACGTGATTTTTCGTACAATCAGGGGCCATAATCCATGAAGTTTCGATCCGATACATGCCAATATCGAAAGCAGCCGAGATCTTTTGGGGATAAACCTATATTTCAAGTTTCGTCAAAATCAGATAAGAATTGTGACCTGTAGAGAGTCCACAAACAATTGTGAACGGACGTCCTGACGGACAGGGGCGACGGCATAATACGTCCACATGAAAATGTTTGCGTATAAAAAAGTAGTATGATGTTTACCTTGTTCTTGATTTCGTCTAGGCATAGTAGGAGATCTATTCCTGGGTGGTGTATGATGACCACTTGATTCAGCTGTAAAACACAAATATTACACACATAGTTGTTGGTTTTTGGTAAAATAATAAGAGAAGATAATCTCTACTTGATTCAAAGTCATTCTGTGTTTCACACTTCTATAAATTAGTATTTTACCTTCTGATTCTTTGGTATGAGGCAGTAATTCTGCTACTAGTAATCTTTCTATACTACCATCATCTACACCTTTACCTAACCATCTACCACATGTAAACCTAGCAATAATAATTCAATACATATAATTACTATGTCTATGATTTTATGTCTATGAATTGGTTAAAAAATAAAAGTATGGAATTAATTAAGTTGATGTGTTGCATTATTTTGAGAAGTTGGTACCTTGTTAACATTTAGAATTTCAGGTCCACAGAGTCAATGTTAAAATCAAACCAACTAAAGATGTGTTGTCGACAAAAATTAATCCAAAATTAGTAAACAAACTGACTTCTATTTAATATCTCTATATAAAAATTTAATTTTTAATCTCACTGCATTCTAACTGTTTATATTTTGTTTTCTTCATTATTATTATGTTAAATAATGAATCTGACTATATTTGTGCTTAGATTAAGCTGTGGAAAATTAGATATTGTCTTAAAAATGCATGATCAGGATCAGCAACTTAGAAGTGTATAACTACTTGTAATAATTCAATATGCCAATAATATCCTTTGGTTATATTCACACTATTTATTAATTAATTAATGATAATGTTTAAATCAACAGATCTAAAAATGTCCCATCTTATTTTTGGGTTCCTACTCTCCCCACCACTGCAAAAATATAAGATATTCCAATAATATTTCATAGTAGTAGCCAGATTTAAAATATCACAAACCTTTATATAAAGATAACTAAGACATATATATACCTGTATGTATGACCAGTAACTTCATTTCTAACCAAAACATATTCTACCAACCATTTAGAAGACATACCACTGTTATCGTGACCAATACGTAATGTAGTTAATATACCCAAATTTTTGTGCTGAAAAAGTTTATGGAGATAAGATAAGATTAACCAATAGGAAAATTTTTATGAAACTCCAACTGTGAAATGAAATGAGATTTAACATGCTACTTTTTTGCATAAACCATGTTCTGTGCTGTTAGAGTAATTTTTGTCTGCATAGTCACACTAATAAGGCCTACTCTTATTTTTTGTCTAACTGTCAGGGGATCTACAACAGGACTATCTGAATGACTAGACACTATTCCTTATGAGGACCTCTGTCCTACATCACAAAATTCAATTGTATTAGAAAATCCAATTACAGTGAATTACATTTATCTAGCTTTAATAATACAATTAATATTTTTAAAATTATAATAACCTGGTTCTTTGAATAAAGCAGGTTAAAAAAAAATAGTCATCCTTTAATAGAGAACGCGAGATGAAAACACAATACAAAATTAATGTATTTGAAGGCCTATATTAATTGTGGCATTATGTAAGATTAGATAAAGAGCTGGCAGTTCTCGCTATAATAGTTAAAATATAGATAATGAACAATCTGATTAAAACACAGATCCTATTTCATTTCGTCTTTTATAGTTCAAAATTTTGTTTTACTTGTCTTTACTACACTAGGATCTGAAAGAGTTATCATTGACGTGTTCTCGATGATGTGAGGGATTAGCCAATGAAACGGTCTGTTACGGCGAGCTTTTGGTGTGTATTGTACGGAACTGTGGGTAATCCACTAGAAACATCAATGCTGATTGGTTAATCAAATGTCTGATGTTATTGGGTCAAAAGCCACTTGTATGACCTCTGACACAACCTCCCAAAACAACTGGTCAGATCTTCATGTAGTGTAGGCCATCGAAAGTATAAAAAAAAGAACCGAAATATATATCTGCATGTTAATCAGATTGGATAGACATTAGCGATTCAATTTTAGGCTAGCCTCGGTTGCCATTACTACAGTTGTTACCATAATAAACAAAGTCTTGATTATCCATTTTTAGGTTATTTCATCCACAACAAAACGTATTCAGATCCACTAAATATCGCAGACTAATGATGGCATCAAGAGTTGATTATGGTCTTGATAAGTTAATTAATGTTTAATTAATAATTTACATAATATTTAAGGCCTATAAAAGACCTGCAATGGGCAGATTTAGCTCTTGCATAATGCATGTTTAAGAGATAGAAGATATAACCAATATAACCAACCTCTACATTAAACTCTAAACAACCTCTAGGTACTTCTACTACACCTGTTTCCCCGAGTTGACCAGCCACACAGATCCATGGATTAGCTGTAGTTGTAGCACAACCAAATTTAGTACTAGGAAATATTAATACTTTATATGCTACCACTGAAATATATAAATACAACATCTATAAATTATCAAATTTAATTCATATATGCATTTAGTTACATTGATTCGACATCAATCGACTGTATAGTTGCATTATATGCTGTGCAATAAGGGGAATTTTAGCTGGATAGCTGCATTATGGCTTACTCCAACTGCCAAGATCTTTAATGTTGTTTTTCTCATCGAATCGCAAAAACTATGCTTTTCCTTGCCAGGCCCACACTCCAGCACCATTCACTTAAGGGAAATGAGACTGGAAAATCCAGAGCCCAAACCACTTCCACAACTAAACAATAATGATCAAAGCTACTTACTTGTGTTCATAAATGTATTGGTAAAGCAGAAGAAATCTACAGCATTTAATGATAAAAGATGATATAAAAACTGTTCCCTTTCATCTTCACATCTCAAGAAAGCATATCTCTTGTATAAACTCCTATAAATAAGAACAGCAATATATAATAGAAGATACCATGATCTCCAGACAGAAGACATATCAATGTTTTATATTTTTTAGTTCTTGACCTGCATGAAACAAGCTTTTCTGCCACAAACATCCAATTTGACACTACATTACAACCTACCGTAGTAAATCTGTATCTGATAATAATTCTTTAAGATGTGATGATAAAACTTTTTTCTCTAAAGCTAATCTAACCCAGGCTCTTGCATAACCAACATCAGTTCTTATATCACTCATTTTCTGTACCTTCCTAGAAAATAAAAGATTTTTTAAACTTCAAAAATGGAAATGGCCTAATACTTGGTTTTTTTTTTTATATTTCATCAATAAATCGTGGAGTCTCTAAGGGTGGTTATCCACAAATCGAATTTTCTTGTCAAAAATGTTCTGTGCAACCGAAAAATCGCTTTGTTAGATTTATTCCCTAACTAAAACAATGCTGCAGGAAAATAGGAAGGAATCAGATTTTGAATATCTATTTTGTGAATATCTGATTTTGTAATATAGATTTTCTGCCACTACAGCTGAACAATCCTTGTCTAAGTGCTTATGCTAAACGCCTGAAGCAAAATATATTCTGTTAAAAAATTAAGGTCAATTCCAACTCCAAAATGTTCTCTCTGGTGAAATTCCTTTTGCAAAACTACATCCAACCAATATAATGCTTGTGTATCAAAATGGAATATTGACTTTATGTGAAATATTTGGTTTAGTGGATAACTGCTTTAAGATTGTGACACTAATATTACAGATCTCTGTTACAATATGAATTGTGCTTACTATCAGACATCTCGTATTAATACAATACATACCTCATATCATGTATAACAGACGATGGCATGATCTGTAATGCTGGTAGTTCTATACGACCTTGACTACTTCTACGTCGATGTGTTTTTACTGGTGCTGCAGCAGTAGGTCTATCATCCAAACCAACATTTGATAAATCTACACAAAACAAAATCAAATACAGATACAATGACAACTAGTTTCAAAATTTAATCCAATTTTCTTACATAAACAAATAAAATAATAAAAGATATACTGTAAATGAAAATACTGCGTCATAAATGTTACTGTATACAATTTTGTATAATATGCTAATTTTCCTTAGGACAAACAAATGGATTAGACGTGGTTTTTTTTTATGTGTAATATTTATTTAACTCACTGTATTTATTTAAAAGGGAAGAAAATATAAATTGGGGTATAATGGATTTTAAATAAAACGTTTTGTAAGTCGAGAAATTGCTGTTTATTTTCAAATTAAAAAAAGAATTAATACCAGTATTTGGTACTGATGGAACTTAATATTATTTGACTAAATTAATAAAAAAACAGCATTTAGGGAAGAATGATGTTTGTATAAATGTAATGATAAAATGTATGATTGAATATGAACTTATGAAGTATGACAAATATCTAGCAATGTGATTTCTACTGCCGTTTGTGTCATGCTAAATGAAACATAGAGAACATAAAAAAGCCCAGATCTGATGAAAACAAACTGATGTATTTAGTAAAACAGAATATTTCCAATCATAGAATATAGTCATCCATCAGTGGAAATGCCATGTGAGTGACCCATGTTGTTGTCCTTGAAACACCACACTTTTAGAGGAAATCTGTTAAAGAGTATGAAATATCTTTCAGGATACATTATTTTCTTCCTTTTTCAGGTCCTTACTAGATTTTGATATATACCTGTGTAGCAACATATCTCATAAATTTACAGGTGAGACAACATTTACCTATCTATTTGATTTTTATTGTTTGAACTTACACCAGTTTAAGGCAGTAAGCAAATAAACGGTGATATCTATACACTAACCATAGCACAATGACAATAAACACACACAAAATATGAAGCAAGAAGCAAAAAAAAAAATATGATTTTACAACACCCACAATATCTAGACACTTGAAATAAATCAAGATGAACATGTTGACAACTCAACAAAAGCTCTACAGATGTGGAATGTGGACAAGTTTATTTAAAACCTACGCTTATTTTTATATCGTTTTTGAAGTAGACACCATGCCACAGCTGCATTAAGTTATAAAGAAAGACGTAACATTGTATCATAAAATATATAGACTTATAAACTCTGTAGAGAAAAAATATATGGATCTTCATTCAAATACATTATACCGCATCATTTAGACTGGCCTATAGTCTATGGAAGTACCAATTATCTTGTAATAATTTACTCTAGTTTTAATGGTTTATGTCTTCTTTCACAGACTGGATAGAGGGAGCAAAAAGCAGATCTTCAGCAGAATTTTCCATACTGACTGATATCGCAAACAAGGTCACTTAATGACCTGCAGATTCAAGCGGACTTGCTTTCTGTTAGTAATACTAATCAACCAACAGTATAATATCAACCAAATCTGGACAATAATCATAAAACCCAACACTGTGCAAAAAGTACAGTCCTTCCATGGTATGATAAAGTAACTTCACTACAAAACAGGGAATTAATAATATACATAAGGACTATTCAAGTCTACGCATTATTGTACAATGACTACAACGCATATGGTATATACCAGGTATTGTCAATGTTCCAATTTGCATATTTGTAATCACAAATTTGGTCTAAAATGTAGAAATAATATTGCAAAGTAAAATGACTTTCTATCTTTAATTTGGGGCAATATCATTATCTTATCAAGTGGTATTATGATACATGTATTTTAATTGTCAGTTAATTTACAATATACTTGCATCATAATTTATATATTCATTGTCAGACCAAGTACATGCTGATAAGGTATAATTTGTTAGTTATTAATATTGAAGTAGTCTATATATAGGTTAGTATAAATGAACTACTTTTACTATGATAAGTAAAACTACTGTATCTAGGTTAGTAACTACATAGAACCCCTGCCTATTTGTTAATTTACATTGTTTTCAAGCAGCATTTTAGCAGACTACAAGTAACCCTAAATTATTATTCTGTTTCAGTCTGTTTTTGTTATACATGGATTTAATGAATAGAATTTAGTAAATATTTGTAACTTGAGAGAGCTTTTGCTTTACAAGGCACATACACAAAATTATCAATCAAAATACATTATTTTAATAGAAAAGATTAATATTCCAGGCCATTATTTATAAACAAACCAAACATTCTTGATGGTTTTATCAAAAATTATATTTCAAGTTTTCTACAAAATATTTTGATTGAGAATTTCTTCATAACACACGTAAATAAATCCATGTAAACAGAAACAAGGGTGGGTTACATTTACATTAATGTGGTGTACAGATAGAGAATTTGGGATAACCCCAACACCATGCCTGCTACAGACCATATCATACTTACTAGTCAGGGAAAATGATCTCCCTAATATTGTAATGGACCCCTCCAACAATGAGCCCATATCTAGCAGGCTATGCCGCTTGACTAACCCTTTGAGTAGAGATATTTTAAACAATACTTTTAACTAATTATTCTGAGTAGCACATGTTTATAATTATTTAATATTAGTTTAGGACATTACTTCATCATAATCATATCATTATATTATAATTTACATCTGTACATGCAATTCATTACAAATTAGGGGAGTTTTAAAAGAAAATAAAAGCCATTCAAAGAAATATATCTTTGGATTGTTCTTTGAATCAATTCATGTTAAAAAAAACAACGAGAAAGGTATTGCGAAAGTATTCAAACAAAAAGATATTTAATGCATAAAAATTTAATGCTTTAGATAAAAATCAATACTGGCAATGAAGAATTAAATGTATTTATATGGGTCACATTGTACAAAACGTATGTAAACCTTACGTACACAAAACCAAAAAGGTCTAATAAACTGTGCACGTTAATTTACACAATGAATTGTGCAATAAGTCCAGCCATCTTAAATAAAATACATGTACATTTATTTCTAAAAACATATATTTCATTATATTACTCTCAATAAATATATTCTAGGTAGTTTGTGCGTTTACCTATTTGAAAGCTACTAAGGCAATACATGGCACAGGGTTAGAGCTTTAAAAAAGACCCACTATATTATAATATGTAATTTTGATAAGCATGAATCCATATATCTACTACAGAATATCCCACAATATCCTTCTAGTAATACCCCACCCCAACACACGGAAGCTATATACACTCTATATATAAATAATTTAAATGGAACTATATTTTACCTGGCGTTAGTTTACTGGGGTCAATAGTTCGACCAGATTCTGTACATTCATCAATCTCCTGATAACTCAGTAAATGTGACCATAAAGCTGATTTACCCTGTTAATAAACATATCATCAAATTACACAAACAGATCACAACTCAAATTCATTTAATTACAAGTGATCTATTGTTTCCTTCCCAAAATTTAATGATGTCATCGACAGTTTCTTTTGTCCAATTGGTAGAGCAGTTTTCCAGCAATGTTTATTACAAAAACCTTTCGTTTGTAAACAAGATACTTACTAACTCTTATTAGCAACGACCAAAAAAAACAACATATTATTTATATTCACTTTTTAAAATAACATTTTATTTACCCAGTTAAATTTTTGATTAAATATCAGTCCTGACTACAGACAAGAATCGAATCCTCAATGGCTGATAGAGATAGCAACATTACACTAGCTGATCACAGCAATTAAATGGTTTCCATTTTATGGTCCATGTTCTGATTACAATGATTCCCTTATTCTGCCATATTTCACCCTGTGGAAGTCTTTCTAGTGAAGAGTCTGAAACCGCTGTATAACAGAAAGGTATGACACTGTAGAGGTTGTATAAACTATTCACATTCCTGAATGGAATCAAGTACATGTATCTTTATTGTTACATATTTCTTACCTTTTTAGTTTGAAGACCATGACTCCATATTCTCTCTAGAAGGTCACAGAGACTAGCTATAAGTGTATTTTCTTCTACACCAGTAATACTTAATTCACCATGTCCTAATTCTACAGCTTCACGTCCCATCTTAACAACTAACATTTTCTTTGTCTAAAATAATACATAAAAATACCCGTAATGATAATAATTCAGAAAGAAGTTCTTTGATATTTCAATGATCTTTTATTGATTTACGATTAAATACTTGGATGTATTTATATGACATCAATAAATACAAGTCATTACAAGAATCTTAAACTCGGAAATACCTGTTATTGGGAAAAAGAAATTATGGATATGATGGCTGGTGCTAGGGTTAAATTAATGCTTAAAAATGGATATGTTGACCTATTATCAATGTCATTCTTACATGAGTCAGATAAAAATTATGAAAGGGATTTTTGAATCATTTTTATAATTAAGCATTATAAATGGAACTAACCTTAGTCTTACATTCCTTTAATAAAGTTTCTACAAATTTCCAGTTTGTCTGTACCATACCGGCTGCTGACATCTCTGATAATTTAGGCTGTCGATTCTTAGATCTAGCCTCCTGAATATATCGCTGGAATTATGAAATATAAGTACCATTTCATTAGTTTCACATATAATAAAACATAATATTGACTTTTTGTATTGCTTTTTCATTTTTTTTGTGATAGTATTCGAAAATAAATTCATACCATTCAGGAAATAAAACAAAATTATTTCTGAAAGACAAACATATAGAAAAAATCCATTCATTCATACAAAACATACAAATTATCTTTGTATAGATGTATATTATACATACAAACTAGAAGATTAACACATAATTTTTATGAATGGTAATTAACTATGTATGAGATATCAATTATAGCACATAGATAAAATATTTGATTCATAACATATTTGAAGATGCGAAAGGTTGTAATAAAATTTGTACGGAAGACTTCAATGAATCACAAGACAGGTAAATGTACCAATATACAGTGAAACCTGGGAAGATGAACACACAAAAACTTACCTACTTGAGAACCAACGATTTCTCAATATTTATATTTGATAAAAAATTAACAATAAATGTAAATCAGATTTCAATGTGCACATTAAATTCTACTTATTCACAAGAATTTTAATCAGATAAATGTTCTAAACACAATTAAAGAGATTGTATGCAAAATAACACTTAAAAAAACTACAGATAAATACACAGTTTACTCAGTGATTTATTTGTACAATAGAATGTTTATGTTGTTAATATTGTGGTGATTATATTTAGTGAGAATACTTACACATGTTGTCAGTAATATATATGTTAATTATATGATGTGCAGTTGTGTTTATATTCTAATATTCATTATTTTCTTGTTAGTAATTTATAGATATCCTAAAAAACAAGTTACAAATTTCTAGTTCCTGAAACACCAGTGTCAATGTAATATTGTGATTTTTTCTTAAATTCTAGTTTTTATCCATATATTATAGCGACTAGAAATTTGCATCATTGAAAGAATTATTTTTTTTAAACAGTTGCAGTCTAATTAGAATTATACAAAAATTTTGTTATGTTTTTTTGTTAGCAAGTTGTAACTGGTCGACTCCAGATCAACCTACCAATCAAAACGGTGATACAGAAAATTCAATTTACAAGCTTTAATTGTCCAGATGGAGTGATCAACTGAATAAATGAAACCAAAATAACCTCTTATTTTAATTAGACTGAAACAGTAAATAATGACAGAATTTGAAAATATAAAAAAAAGTATCCCTTGAAATTAATTTGATATGAATATTTTGTATAAACATTAGTAACTGAATGATGTATTGGTATGTATCTTAAACATATAATTAACCCTTTAACAATACATAAATACATAGAACAAAGAGAGATGAATCACAGAACAGGATATATTGAAGCTACAATGTAAACTAGAAGTAAGGTGATGACATATTACTAGACTGTAGTTAGGTACTCACAAGCCACTGTTTGGCATGTTTCTCTACTAAAACAAACTTCAGAACAAAACGGTTTATATTAATAGACGTTATAAAAAAAGTAACAAAGAAGACATCTGATTAAACATTTTGCATAGGATGTAAATACTTAAAACATAAAATTTAAAAAAAAAATCATTCAAAAATACAACTGAAGACTTTATGATTATATGTAGGAATTGTTTGGTCAAAATGCATAAATTGCCAGTCTGCTCATGCAATGGGTGACCTAAATAAAGATTATGTCAATAACTGTAATTAATGCTGTGGAACAGAATGAAGATAACAAGTTACGACGATGCATATAAATATTAGGTTCTATTATATTACTTAACAAAATCTAAAATATTAAACTTGAGTTAACATATTATTATTTAACTATCTAAATTTAGTCTAGATTTATTATTAATTAACATATATATGAAACATACCTCTCTTTGATCAGAATTGAGTTGAAGATGTTCTGCATGCTGAAGTACACGATCCTTTCGTCGCCACTTAGCATTTTCCCTTGTTTTAGACCTGAAAAATAATAACACAATTTGGTATGACTATGAGCGCCTTGGGTTAATTAAAAAAACAAGGGGGCAATGTTATGATATGAAAAAATATTGTAACATGTACCAACATACCATGGACCAGGAACTGAGTATCATAAGTTGCAATTGTGATGCCATATCACAAATCGAATTCCGTGAATCAATTCAAAATTGTCCAAGAAACAAGCATGCCAAGTTTCATGTCAATCATCCTGATGTACCATTATGAATAGTCAAGATTACCAACTCATTTTAGGCCCATTGTACTGAAAATTTAGATTCTAAGCGATCTCAGAATTGCTATCGACGCATTTACCCTACAAAATTAGATGTTTACATCAGTACTCATATTTCTACAGATATTTAAGTTAGGTTGCCAGGCAACAAAACATACGCCCACAGCAACTAAATCGTCCGGGCAGTCAACAAGGGTTGTCGCATATTTTTACTTTTTTCGGTAATGAAACATTTATAATACACTAAAATCTGATTAAGAGCAACAACTCACGAAGTAATTATCAGAATTTGGTTTAGAGCATCACAAGATTTTGCAAAGTGATCAAGGGCCATAACTTTGGCAGTAATTATCGGAAATCGTTGAAAATCAATAGGAATCTTCGTCTCATGACCCCAAACACTGTGTATAAATTTAAACTCAATCAGATATTAACTTTAGCCTCTAGAGCATCCACAAGATTTTTTAAAGTGATCAAGGGCCATAACTCTGGCAGTAATTATCGGAAATCGCTGAAAATCAATAGGCTTCTTCGTCTCATGACCTTATACACTGTGTATAAATTGAAAGTCAATTGGATATTAACTTTGGCCTCTAGAGCGTCCACAAGATTTTTCAAAGTGATCAAGGGCCATAACTCTGGCAGCAAATATTGGAAATCGCTGAAAATCAATAGGCTTCTTTGTCTCATGACCTTAAACACTGTGCATAAATTTAAAGTCAATCGAATATTAACTTTCGCTTCTAGAGCATCCACAAGATTTTTTAAAGTGATCAAGGGCCATAAGTCTGGCAGTTATTATCAGAAATCGCTGAAAACCAATAGGCTTCATCATCTTATGACCTTTAACACTGTGTATAAATTTAATGTCAATCGGATGTTAACTTTAGCCTCTAGAGCATCCACAAGATTTTTTGAAGTGATCAAGGGCCATAACTCTGGCAGTAATTATCGGAAATCGTTGAAAATCAATAGGTTTCTTCGTCTCATGACCTTAAACATTGTGTATAAATTTAAAGTCAATCGGATATTAACTTTGGCCTTTAGAGCATCCACAAGATTTTTTGAAGTGATCAAGGGCCATAACTCTGGCAGTAATTATCGGAAATTGCTGAAAATCAATAGGCTTCTTCGTCTCAAGACCTTAAACACTGTGTATAAATTTAAAGTCAATCAGATATTAACTTTAGCCTCTAGAGCGTCCACAATTGCTTGTGGACGCCAGACCGCCGGACGGACGGGGGCGACGACAATATACGACCACATTTCAATGTGGCCGTATAAAAATGGATCACAAATCCGGTTCCATAATATACATAAATCAACTTACTTATTAGCAATAATCTCTGTATTTAATATTTCTTTATTTAAAGAAGGAAAGAAACCCGGTGTAATATCAGTTTGTTGATATAATTCTGTTGGTAAAGGCTGAGGTTTAGTTGCTGTGTGATCTATAAATGTTGCTCTTTTCTCAGGGAATACTTCTGGAAAATCAGATAAAATAAAAGGAATTGAGAAAAGTCTGAGTAATTCAATTATTGAAATTGGAAATAAGAAATAAAATAAGGCAATCTAGAATTCTGTCAGGCAATTTTCTAAATGCAATTCCCTACCGATTTAAAGAGCATGTCAAGAAAACGCTTAACTTTGTTTTTAAATTCTATAAACCTTTCAGAAGATTTATTTGCATTTAATGACTATTATAAATAACAGTAGTTTGATAACAGATAATTTAAAGAGGCATGATCACTTTCACCAAAAACATTGAATGTTATTTAATTGTATCCCATTTAAATTAACTTTAGACGGAACTAATTTTTTCATAGTTGGTGCCATATTTGAATTGACAATTAATGCTTATTGCATTATGGGTGTTATGAGGAACCATTCTAGAACATGTATACCTACATGGTCCATTATCTATTTCTTATTCTGACAAAATCTTTACTCCAAATCAAACCTATATAATACACCTAATCGTGCAATGCTTGGTAACTAAGTTAATATACATGTACATGTATGAAAGAGAAATTTATTTGTTTGTAATAGGAATCAAACAGATGAACTTGCAATGTTTCAAATATCTTCATAAAAAAACAATATTTTTTTACTACAAATGTAATGGTGCTATTTATTTTGTATTTGTTGCAGTATTAGATAAAACTGACTATGAGAATGATTATAGTGTTATATACTCTGCCCAGGCAAAGCTGGGTGAAGTAGCTAGTAAGATTTAATCATGAAGAAAAAAACACCTCCAGTCATCACACGTCAAGATAATAGCTATAGCCTACTGGGAATCAAATGCCAAATGGTTCAAATTGATTTAATTGGTTGAAGACATTTCCTCTCTGGAATAATCTCCTTCACAATACAAAACACAAGTAATCTATCTCAAGGGACATTTTAATTCCCTCACAGAAAAAAATCAATTTGAAATTTAGCCAAGACAAATATTTTATAGTCGACGACTTATTGATCAACATAATGTCTATGGAAGAAAAATGTGAAAAGTCAAGCATAAAAAACAGTCTGCTGACATTCACTTTATACTTAGAATATTATGTCAAAGGTTTGTTTGGAAGATTTTTTTTCCTTAATGTTGTTGTGGACTGTCATTTTTTAAAACATTTCTTTACATTAAGATTGTGTACCTGTATCAGTAATTGTTGTACAAGAACTGTAAGTTGGTGTTCTAGGCTCCCCAGAGGTATCACTCAAATTTCTGATCCGCGCCTCAAAAACATTCAAGTATGGATCCGCTTCCTCCCACTGTGAGACAATTTTATTATCAACTAATGTAGCAAACATCTGAGTTTCTATAAATGGAGACAAGAAAGGCAAGTGACCTTCTGGCTGATCACTGAGAAAGGAAGCTTTATCAAAGTTCTGCATGGTGTCACGATTACTGATCCAGGATTCAAGATCCTGGGATGGCTGAATAACAAATGATTCATAGCTGTTAAACATATGCACAAAACGGTTCATAAATATTTCACGGATGGCACTGTTGAATTTGAGATCGTTGACTTCTGAGACAGGCATTCTATCGTCGGAATCCTTACAAGTTTCTTTTGTTTTTTCTTCCAATAAAGACTTTTCTTTTTCGACATTTCTTTCTTCACCCGCAAAATCTTCAATAGATTCCCATACACCTGTCTTCTTGGCTAATGAAGATATCTTCTTCCAAGTTTCACTTTGTTGCAATATTTCCATTCGCTTAGGAGAGTTAGGGTAGCTGCCAGTGCCACTATTGTCTGTGGTTGTGATGTTTTTATTGGCAGGTCCTTTTAGTGGTGAATTAGGAATACTATTACTTTTAATTTTACTTGTAATGTTAATATTAATGTTATGAGAAAACAGCTCTTGATATTGATTTAACATTTGCAAGAGTTCTTCTTTGAGTTCTAACTGATGTGGAAATCCTGGCAAATCTTCAGGATATTCTACAGAATTATTATCTACATCAACAAAACACATATTTGCCTGGAAAAACAAATAAAAACCATAATAAAAGATGTAGAATCAACCGGTTATGAAATCTTATGATTATAATTCTTTTTGCCAGAATATGTTAAATTTTACTTTTACTTTCCTATCTTGCACTAATTAACTTCATAATTTATCATCATATGAACTTATGAAGGCTAAATTCAACTTACCTCACTGGGTAGTTCAGGTCTATCATCATTACACCGATGAAGTCCCATTATAAAAGGTACAGGAGCATCAAGAAAATGTTGTAGAGAGGCTGGCAATATTGGTACATACACATGTTGCCAAGCAAACGGGAATATTAAACAATTTATACCCTCTGCTATCAACATTAATTTCTGGTAATCTGTTCAATAAAAATATATAATTGTATTTAAGATAAATTTCATGTTTTCTTTTGCCAACTAACTTAATAATGTAACTTCAAAAACATGACTCAAGGAGTGTACCTGTATTTAAATTTATTGACATATTTATTGTTTTAATGTACCGCATATCCATACAAAGGGCATTGACCATTAAGATGTATTATAGACTATCTATGATATCTAAATATTTAAAGTACACATATTTCTCATCCAGATTTATTGACAAAGATTGTGGTAAGGGAAAGCAAATAAAAAAAGTGATGTTTTAACTATTAACAAGTCAACTACTGGTCAACCAGTAAATGTTTCAGTCCTTTCAGTGTGTAAAACTAAACTCAAACATTGTTTAGTTAGACATTAGGTCTAATTCTATTCTGTTTAACATATATGTAGACCTACCATTTATGGCCCATTATACATTAGAACCCAACAATTCAGTTTTGATAACTGTTAATATAATAGGACTGCCAAAAATTCAGTATTATGATATGAATGAATTTCTACTACACTGTACAGCAGGGCAATGAAAAAATGTTATGATGTTATTTTTTTTTTAATAATATTGGAAAATTATTGTTGTTGGCAGAGACACGTTGGTCTAAGTTCATCACAGGTGGCGTGGCCCAACACATTTTGGCCGTAACTAATTATCTACTGTTAATTTTGCACACTATATATGTTACTTATTTTTATTTTACCTGAGGAATAAAGCAGTACTTGATGTTCCATAAGTACACTAACAAACAATGACAACAGATTATCAACACCTAATAACTTAAATAACTCCCACAATGAAAAATCAAAGAGAGGTAATTCCCCCATACCTGAAATAATCAAAACATTCAATTTGTTTACAAAATGATACAGTACATATATTTACTATTCTACTTTAGTCTTTATCTGTTAAAGACACAGGTGTGAAAATTCACAAACCAAGTTATTTACTTGCTCAAATTTGAAATGGAAAAACAACAATAAACATACATTCTCCTATCTTAACACAGCTAATCCTCTTTGATTTGGGTCAAAATTAAAAAATAATTGGGATTGATATAATGTGTTATTTCAATCCAATTAAATTTGTGTTTCATAATATTAGTGGAAATTAGTTTGTTTACTATTTTTTTTTAATTGTGACTTTTTGTTGACAATAGATCACTTAAAAATATCTAAAAATTGGCACTATCTGTGGGACATAACAAAATTAAAATTAGACAAGATACCCATTTAAAATCAACACATATTTGTTCAATCAAATCAAAGAGTAGTCATTTATTTTTTCTAAAACATTTAATTACCGGTACATAGGACTTAATTACTAATTTAAACAGGATAACATAATTTTGCTGAACATAACATCATCACACTATCTATCATCAGTCAATATACAGGAAACGCAAGTTTACATATTTATATACTTACTTGGTCGTTGACAAAATATTGGAGAGATAACACCATAAAACTTTAAACTTCTTCCTGGTGGTGGTAATGGTACCTCATATAATACATTATATATATAACTCTCAAATGGTAAACAAGCTTTAGACGGCTTGTTTACAGCCTCATGCAGTTGTTTTAAAAACTGTTTACAAGCTTTCACAAAGGGCATTTGCAGAATTAAACAGATACATTTTGTCACATATAACTTGTCCTTATTCTTATCAAAAACCCTTGATTTTTCATGTGATGTTGGTATTTTCTTCATCAATATGGGACTATCCGGTGTGTAGATCTGAGGAAATCCTGGTTTAAGAGTAGGGCTATGTTCTGCTTGATGCATTGCATGTAAAGTCTGCATGGCAGCACAAATCTGTTTATTGGTAACCTCTTCATAAAATACATAAGCGGCTCCACATATTCGGGAGCCATCTTCTTTTGTAATTATAAAAGAATGAAACTTTGGATTCCGAGAATCTCTTTGCGTCCGAAACTGGAGACCTTTGGGTAAGCACAGCTGAAAAAGAAGAATTATTTCATGCCAAACAAATAATCAGAATAAGGAGAAAAACATACACACATAAATGTATTGGTTACTATATTTGATACATAGTACCATTAATACTAATAGTCTTCAATATTAATATCCTAATCTATCTAAACTATTGTCAAAGTTGGTCACAAATGACCGCTATTGACAATGTGAGATAGAGAAATTGGGTTTATTGTCCACTCGGCACAAAGTAGGTTATTTCATGACTAAAATATGGTACAATCTTATTTCAATAATTTACTTGCACCTAGGGAGGAAACAAGAGGACCCGGAGAAACCAACAAGGGTAGGCATGCGACCCTACTCCTTGTCATATACAATGGTCACAAATGATAAATATCAGCATTCACTCCATAAGAAGATACAGTAATAAGTTTACAGTTCACTTTTTTTATGGTGGATGTATGGTCTCTTATTAGTGTCTACTGAAAAAGTTTGTTGAGGAACGCAAATTTGTTTATGGAACAAGGATTTGAATTCAAATTGCATGTCAGTGGGGAGTGTGTGCTGACCAAGATAAAGTATGACTAATTGTATCTGCTAGTGAGTGTATGTGGCTGTGAGGTTAGGGCATCAATAGATTAAATTCTCTAGTGAAAATGTGAACAATGATCAAATATTCTTTTAATTCCTAAAAAGCAGTTATAATAACAAGGAGCTGTATGATTAAATCAAATTATGGTACAGTAGTACTTTACTACGAAAAACATTAATGGGGTACGACATCACCTGTAGTGATGTGTATAGCCGACCATATTAGTTTCATTCAGTCCAACTTGCTCAGAAAACATGAGATCCTGGAAATAATTGGGAAAATTGTAACTTAAATTTGGATATGGCTTGCATTCTCATCTCATGTTTTTATATCATGGATGTTCCTTAGCTAGGAGAACAAAAACATTAAAGATTTATGTAAAAATTTAATATCAATATTCAATTTGTGTTTTGTTTAATTAATTTTCTGTTTTTCGTCCTTACTAAAAGATCTTAAAAATATATCATATATGTCAAACAGAACATTTTTTTTATAAATTACCGTACTAATAACAGTATGGTTATTTTTAATAGAAAATGAAAATATTTCAAGGACTATAATAAACCTAAGAAATGTCAACCACATGAACATACAACCCAAAATGTAGACATGTTTACATTGTCAAGCAAAAGCTTTCATTTTTTTCCATCTTGTGGAGTAAATATCCTAACTATCATAAGTGTTCATGGTAATTTTTTCAACTCACAGCTTCTTGCGCTTAAAACAAGCGTATAATAGAAGGCAAGACGAATTTATTTGCAATGGGTTTAGTAAAACTGTACAGTACATGTTTTTTAAAGCTCACTGTCACATTCTTATTAGTTTTGTAGATCTCTAGACTTGTGGTTTAACAGTATTGTTTTAAAAGTGCTGAGAATGCTATTATTATTATGCACACTTGTAGTAGTACAGATGTCTTTTGTTTTATTCCTCCTAAATGCATCAAGGAAACATTGTTTGGCAAAATTTTATACAAAGTCTCTTTATATTTTTATATAATAATATTAAAATTAATTAGTTCTTTACAAGCTTATATCTATAACATTGGTCTAGATTCTAGACTCCAGAACCACACAGTTCCTGTAAATTGATAACAAGATTTGATGGCGAATCACAGAATTAGCAAGCAGCTTTTGGGGTTTTATTTTACAAAAGAGTGGACATGTATAGAAGATAGAGTAACCTACACTGAACATTAGCAGTAACTATTAATTACGGGTAATATTATACATGTATATAAAATAGCTAAATAAATAAGCTAAACAAGCCAACAGTGAGGCTGATGTCCCCCGCAGAAATCAAGAAATAAATAGATGACACATATTAATTAATTGCATGTTTATCTTTTTCAAAAGTATCGAGCAATCAAACTGATTATCAACTATACAGTAAGTTTAAGCACTCTCTATCAGATAGAATCAAAGTCAAAGAAATTGCTTAGCTCTGCTTAGCTTTTGCTGGAAATGTTAATCATTGAACTCAGTCAAGACATTCACCTAATGAACATCAATTTTAAACATTCTACCTCAATTAAAAGCAGAGTTGTTATGTTCCAAAGTCTTGACCAATCAAATTGCTTATCGCTCCTTAGCCGAAGCAGAAAATTCTCATCAAATTTAGTCACGGTAATGATATAATGAATCTATACTCAGAGTTTAATAGCTCTCACTTAATTATAACCAAAAGCAAATTATAACCAAAGTTGTCGTGCCCAAAAGCATCAACCAATCAAATTCCTTATCTCTACTTACCGTAAGCAGACAATGTTCATCATTGAACTCCATCACGGGCATTCACCTAATGAACACCTACACCAAGTTTGAACTTTATAGCTCAATTAGAAGGAGAGTTAATTTGTTTCAATGTCTTGACCAATCAAATTGCTTATCACTCTGCTTACCATGAGCATAAAATGTTCATTATCGAACTTAATCAAGGTATTGATGTGATGAAACTATGCAACACAAAGTTTCATCACTCTCACTTAATTAGAACTAAAGTTATTGTGTCCCAAAGCAACAACCAATCAAAATTATTATCTCTGCTTACCCTTAGCAGAAATTTCTCATCTTCAAACTACATCAAGGCATTTACCTAATAAACACCTACACCAAGTGTGAACATTGTTGCTCAATTAGAAGGAGAGTTATTGTGTCCCAAAAAGTGTGACGGACAGACAGACGAACCCATTTTAATAGTCTCCTGCTTTCTTCAAAAGGTGGGGGGAAAATTTAGAAGAAGTTGACTGACACTAGGAATAAGGACAAGATTCTGTTTTTTTATCTAAAGCCATTAGCCTGCTTTCCATGTATGGGTTTCCACTAGTGGAAAAACGCTGCGTTTCCACACACGATTGTTTTTATTTCAATGTGTACATAAAAATAGCTGAAAAGTTTTGGAAACCCCACGTAAATGTGGATTTCTCTTTAAAGCATGAAGACCAAAATTGTTTATTTTCAGTTGTCGCCTTTTTATAATAACACCATGTCCAAAAAATCTGCATTTGCAAGCTGAATTCGAAGTAACAAGAGGGGTTGATAGACTTAGTAGAAGAGTATCTGTGACTGTACTTCAGAACGTAAACATTCGCTTGGGAATGCATGTGCATATGGGACTTTTTTTGCCGGCAGAAACGTGTACATGGAAAGTAGGCCTATGAATTAAAAATGAACAGAATAGCTGTAATATTATGTCACCATTATTTTATAATCATGTAATGTAATACACTATTCCTTTATCTATACAGTTATTTCAAAATATCAGGTTTACGTGAACTGGATTCCTGGGCATAATGCTATGTACATATTTTACATTGTTTTATTGAATATAATTAAATCTTCTCCCCAGTTTATTAGTAAAATGTTACTAGAAATATTTATTTTACCATTCCTACAGCCTCTTGATCGAAGGGATTCCATGATACAGTTTCGGGAAAATGAGCTAATACTTTAGATTTGTAGGGTCTAGAAAGTGGTTCACAATGATGGCTTTCACCTGAAAAAAATAATACAAATTTCTGTAAATAAATCTAAAATGATTTCATTGTATTAAAATGCATCACAATTTTACTGTAGTAAAGAAGAATTGTTTATTCTTCATTGCCTGCCAAGCCTGTACAAAACCATAAAAACATGACTATTGTTTTCCCAGCTTTTCTTTTCTACCAAGAAAATGCCGCAGAGAATTGATCAATGATGGTAAAGAAAAACAACTAAGCTTTTCTTAACTCTTAGCCAAACTTTTAAAGGTTTTTAAACATTTGATTTTTGAAAACGGAATCTAAGACAACACGTTAATCTACAAAGTTAAAACTTTTTAAGCCGGAAACAAAGTAAATCTGCACTCTTAAGTGAAAGGAGAAAATGCTTGGATATAAATATAAACCACATACCATACACTAGAAGTGTTTGACAAGGCTATTTATAAACCAATTGTAAATTTGTATCAACAACTCAAAAATTAAATAATATCTTGATACATACACTGTCAAGTCATGTATTATTCAAAACACATACATAGCCTTATTTAAAATCACTTTCAATATTTCACAAGTCAAAAACCCTACATTCACTGAGAGCAAAAAAAATTGTATGGTCTAGCATTTCCTTGAATATACACTTAATCTAAAGTTATCAAGGTCAGTGTATTTTCTAAGCACATGATACAGGTCATTTCTGCTCTTCATTTTTCTTTAACCAAAGAAGAAATATTGGTAATAAAAGCCATTTGAATAGTTAAAAAGGAATATTTCATTAATAAATAATTATAATATTAAGATTATATTTCTTAGTCCAATATAGAGATTTTTATGAACACCATTCTGACAAGTGGTGTAGATATGTCAATTCGCGTTACAATATCATAAATAAAAACACGAAAAGTTTCTGCGCATAATGATTATCAAAGATAGGTTGTCAGGCAACCACACTTACGCCCACAGCAGGTAAATCGTCCGGGCAGTCAACAAGAGTTGTTGCATATTTTTACTTTTGTTGGTAATGAAACATTTATAATACATTAAAATCTGATTAAGAGTAACAACTCATTAAGTAATTATCACAAAAATCATTAGAATTTGTTTGGCCCATGCCATACGTTTAGTATAAAAAAAACATTTAATATCATGGATTTAGCTGTTCAATCAGATATTAACTTTAGACTCTAGTGCATCCACAAGATTTTTCAAAGTGATCAAGGGCTATAACTCTGGCAGTAATTATCAGAAATTGTTGAAAATCAATAGACCTCTTTGTCTCATTACCTTAAACACTGTGTATAAATTCAAAGTCAATCGGATATTAACTTTAGCCTCTAAAGGGGCTGAGACAATATACGACCACATTTCAATGTGGGCGTATAAAAATTACGAACAGTCAAGATTCTGAATTGGAGAGAAGCGTTTAACGTCTGCTTGACACAAAGTAGGTCATTTCGGAACTGAACTAACATATGCTTCAAATTTATTTTCATTAATTTGCTTGAACGTATTGGTCTTTTAGCAGTGGAAGGAAACCGGAGGACCCAGAAAAAACCCACAAGGTTGGACAGGCGACCCTACTCCTTGTCACATACAAGCGGGGAATCGAAACCTGATCTAAACAAATGTACGTCTTTCAGACATAGAGAGAGAGCCATGTCGGATCCCCTATTTGCCCATCAGCAGCAAAGTCGCCCACTCTAAATCTAAAATAATTTCAATATACATGTTTCCCACAAAATTCCATAATGAACTCTGTCTAAGCTTAAAACACATGAACAGAAAGACACGTGTACCTCTGCAAACACATTCGAAATCTGTGATTCCAAAATTTTGAAATTCTTATGCTCTAATAAACAATCAAGATTACTGGATTTCACTGTTTCATGAATTTAAACCCAAACAAGGGATAACTCTGTGGTTTGCTATCGAAATGGGAACTCTGATCCTTAGGCGTAACTGAACAATCCCACTAAGTCTTTGGACTCTATCGAGTTCAGGTGCTTTTAAAGTTGGAATATGGTCAGAAAGATACTATACTATGACCAGAAGCCATATATTCATGTCCATCAATCAATGCGCAATTGTCCAGAAAACAAGCATGCCAAGTTCAATGCCGATCATACAACGAATCAGCAGAGCCTTAGGCTTCTTTTAGAAGAGCCTAACCCCAAGAACAAGATTACCAAGTGTATGGAACCAGTTACTGGTTCAAAAATTCAACAGTGTTCTTCCTTACATCAATAATAAACAATCCCACAAGTGTTTCACAAGATTTTTAATAAACATAAATGGGCAAATTACTCAGAAATTTGTCCTTATGAACAATTCCTGCAAGATCTAACAAGAACAGTGGTGTTTAGAGCATTCACAAGAAGAGTTGTACAGTTTTGACACATCTCGTAGTTAACTACTCTGTTCTTCGGTTTGTTCCAATTGAAAACAGTTTCTGCAAATTGAAATATACTATTCAAAAAAAGTAGGGGATATTTGATTTTGGGGGCATAATACTAAAATATGCAAATGACTACGAAAAAAGTCACTATAGAACCTAACAGAAGCAACATTTCCAGTTACATGTGACGCCCAAACGCACCAATAGCTACCGCATGGAATGCAGGTGATGCTTGGGATCATCATGGGGGTCCAACCCAAGATTTGCACGACTCTGACTTTGAATGTTATAGTCATTGTGGCATTGAATTCCAGGGTGGAAACATCAGTTTAATTGTTTTAGTGACCAGAAAACAAATTTTGATATGCGTCGGCTTACCCAAAATGAAAGGTTACGTGCCCTTGGCATGCTACAGATTGGCACAACACAGGCGGTTGTGGTGCGAACGATGAATGTTTCTCAGTCTGTCATAAGCAGGCTATGGTCCAGATACCGTGATACACAATCTGTACAGGACAGACCACGCTCAGGTCGACCAAGGGCGACAACTCAAGCCCAGGATCGATTTATCCGTACCTTGACCTCGAGAAATCGTGTCATCATAGCAAATCAGATCAGCGCTCGTCTTCAAACAGACACTGGTGTGAGAGTGAGTGGCCAGACGATTCGGAATCGACTGCATAGGGGTCACCTTCGCGCCCGACGTCCTCGCGTGATCCCTTGTTTGAGAGATCATCACATTCAGGCAAGATGTCGTTGGTGTAGGGATCGTCAACACTGGGATAATCGACGCTGGAGCAATGTGATGTTTTCAGATGAGTCAAGGTTCACTGTTGATTTTTTGGACAGACGTAGGAGGGTCTGGCGTCGTCGAAACGAGCGCTTCCAAGACGTTAACGTCATCAGACATGATCGATTTGGGGGTGGTTCTGTTATGGTGTAGGGAGGCATCACTGTTGCTGGAAGAACGGCTTTACATGTTATTGCAGGGCGTGTTACAGGCCAGTACTACCGGGACAACATCTTGGCAGTCCATGTTGTGCCGTTCGCACGACGTCATGGCCGCCGTTTCATCTTCCAGGATGACAACGCAAGATGTCACAGGGCCAGGATCGTTACATGTTACCTCCAACAACAGAACATCACCACATTACCTTGGCCAGCACTGAGTCCCGACCTCTCCCCCATCGAGCATGTCTGGGACATGCTTGGACAGAGGTTACGTCAACGTCAACAACGTCCTGCCAATGTCCAAGAACTTGCTGCTGCGTTGCAACAGGAATGGGGCAATCTGGACCAAAATGACCTTAGACGTCTCATTAGGAGTATGCCACGTCGGATCAATGCTTGTTTGGCAAACAGAGGAGGATTTACCCGTTACTGACTTGGTTGTGATGCTGTGGTAACTTTGCTGTTTGACCCCGGGTATCATTTTACCCTTATAATGGTCAGTCTGTGCCTTACTTAGTCTAACGATCATTTGGAATAAATCGATGAATGTGAACTTCATTTCATTTTGTCATTTGTTTCTTCGTCAGTTTCATTAGGTGACTTTAATAACACTTAAAAATCAAATATCCCCTACTTTTTTTGAACAGTATATTACTGGTAAGTATACTTTACGCATTTTTAGTAATAGTTTTGATCAAATTGCAATCATATTTTCTTTACTAATGTCAACAACTAGTCTTAATGAAATTCCAACAGTCAAGGGCTCTTTGTCATGCAAGCCATGAATGTGTCCACAAATGCTTACCATAACAGCAGGGAACCCGGTTTGAAACTTTTGAGTTGACAGTCCCAATTCCCTTAATCTTAATGCTCACTTGCAAGGCAATGTCTCTTAAACAAGATTAATTGCTTGCATATTTATTTTTAGAAGTTAACTCAACTGTAAATAAGCCATTTTAATATTTAGAAGATAATATTGGTACAAAACAAAGTCCATATTGATTTAAAAATGTTTATTTGCGGAATTACTTATATTGTGATTATTTATCATAGTATTTGTACACATGTTCAAGTGGCTCTCCTTATATATGACCTGAATAAATCAAATTAATCTCAGTAATAATTAGTAGAGCACTGTGCTCCAGGTTAATAAACATGTACATTGCCCAAGGCTAAATATTATACAGGGTGCGATAATACTTTCATTTTATCACGTTGAACATGTAATTTTTGTAATAGATGATAAAGTGTAATGTAATAAACCCCTGAATGTTACATATATTTTTTTTATGAAATCAATAATTGACTAGATAAAAACATGGTTTGGTTGGTGGTGGGTGAGGGATAAGTAGCCTAATTTAGGGAACAGATCTGGTATAAATGTTTTCCATATGCATCTCTTTATTTCAGTTATCAAATTATTAAAGTTAATGTTTCAAAGGATGTTTTAGTTTATTTTATACCTGAAACTTGAATCACTTGTAATGAAGTCAATCTATAGAATTATATATATAACCTTATACATGTAAACAGAAAAGATTGTCATTTTGTGTTTTTGGTTAAGCCAGTTTCATTTCCTGCATTGAATTATGGTAAAAAATTTTTTTACTAAAAATCTTTGAGGTCTGCAACTGACAATAATGCCCAATGGAATAAAAGAGTGTTAAATACATGTATGTACATATACAATGTGAATTAAGGTATCTAATAACAAATAACAATTAAAATCCTGTACTGTACTCAAGTTCACAATTATACACAGAAATTTATAATCTAAGTAAATATATTAAGTAAATATATACTGAGCTCATCTCATTGTTATCACAAATAATATAGTATATACATGTATAATATCAAAAATGTTTTTCTAAGATCAGCTGGTAGTTTATACACAAGCTATACAACTTTCTAAATGTAGATCTGCATACTTACATAATATAATTACCAAGAGTTTGAAACAGTCAGATACATTTGTAATACAAATTTAGTATCACGTGACAGTAAATCATATATCATAGACTTAATCAAAATTGAAGTGATTTTGACTCCAAGCCACTTGTAGTCTTAAAACTATTTACTTATAATACCAGTACTTAGCTTTGATGTGCTGTCATCAAGACAAAAGACTACATTATTTTATTTGGCTCATCATACTGTAAATGTTGACAAGAGATTTATACACTTTACTGTTGTCGAGTTAGAGAGATGGTGTATGTTCTCTTACAATGAAGTGGACATGATGTCACCACTTTCACACATACTTACAAAATGTATTCTTTTGACTTTTTCACCTTTAAAAAGCATAAAAATAACATAGCCACAAGTTTTACTTCTGTAACATGTATTCTGTACCATAGACTACATGTACACTCCAGCTGTAACTGTGCACTATTACACCTTTTTCTCAAAATAATGATATTTATAAAATTTCCAAAATGCTGTAACCAAATTTCTACAGAAATCTTATTTGACAATTGCTGAATTTTTACAGTTTTTCTGAGCGAGTTCAGATTAATCCAGTGCTAAGTAAGGTAAAATTTAATTTGCATGAATGAGCAAGGTGAATTTGCAAGGGGACAAAAGCTATACAAGTTTACAAAGGTAAATGAACAGCCTTCAATCATAGCTAAAAACAAACACATCTGATAGACCAACACTTTTAGCGAGAGAGAGAGAGAAATGGGGTTTAACGTCCACTCGACACAAACTAGGTCATTTCGGGACTAACATATGGTTTAATTTTATTTACATAATTCGCTTGCGCGTAGGGGTCTTTAGCAGTGGGAGGAAACCGGAGGACCCGGAGAAAACCCACGAGGTGGGACAGGTGATCCTACTCCTTGCCACGTACAACCGGGGATTCGAAACCACGCCAGTCGACTCAATGACAGACTGTATGATACAGTGTGCGCACGCTAACCATTCAGCCATCCAACCCCCCCAACACTTTTAGCTAGAGTTCACATAGCTAACTACAATCAGTCTCAACCAGCAGTCAACTTGAAAAGTACATGTACACCATAGGCGGAATAAGGTAGTGATATGAAGCCACCATAAGGCACTGGCATAAAAAACGCGAATCACAACTGCTGAAACAATGTGATTACTAATTGTATATTTATCCATTACACAATTCTTTATTAAATTTCCTAAACGCTGAGACAAAATGTATACAGTAAACATATCTGAAAATACTCGACCTTGTGTAAATAGTGCTGAATGCTTTTGTGACAAAATGACTGAGCAGTCTTTGATCCTCAAAATTACTAATTTTGATTTAAGTGACATAGTATGAGACAGCACTGTGACTGTGGTCTAATTAATAGTTCATTTAAACAGTGAAATGAAATGAAATGGGGTTTAACGTCCTACTGTTCTGCTCCTATACTGGGCTAATGAAGACGGGCATACACCATACAGTGTGCTATGAGGGACATTTTGCCCGGGCAGCAGCTCTATCGCCTACTCTTATATCGAATTCCAACTGACAGGGGATCTTTTACGTGCATTCCAATATATAGGCCTACACGGGACCTCGGTTTTTCGTCCAATCCAAATGATTAGACAGCTGTCCTTGTCAGGCCCTCCGTCCTGCATCACTGACAAGGGGGAACCACGCCAGAAAATCTGGATTACCTTTACCGGCCAATGCAGGGATCGAACACCCGACCTCCAGGCTAGCAAGCCAGCGTCTTACCCACTTAGCCACGTGATCCCCCTCATTTAAACAAGTTAAATTTGTCATGATATTGTATTATAAAATTAATTTTCAAGAAATCACATGCTAGAATCAGGAATACCCCTGGCCATAGGATAGGTGCCATTGCCTCCAATCGTAGCTAAAAAAAACCCAAACACACCCGATATACTAGTTCCTTTAGGGACAGTCTCTGATTGCACATCTCAATTTATTGAGATACAATTGATAAAAAAAAAATCTTGGAATGATATTGGATCAAATTTTAGTACATTCATCATAAACTCACGAGAAAACCTTGGAAAGGGGGTTATATTAGAACAGTTTTAAACTAAATATATATCTGTATCGTGTATTTTGGTTCTATCGGCTATACAGATAGCATCCGGTATTAACACCAATGCACCAAAGTCAAAATGAAAACAAGTCGCAGGTCTAACTCAAAGACAAAAACATCATCATCAAAACAATAAATGTCAAAACGAACCTGCCAGTCGGTCGGGTTCTAATCCAGACGACACATCCAACCCACAAACCACGAAATAATCGGCAAATCGATTTGCCGTATTACTTAGTGTCATTTTGTCTTAAGAAATATATATCTTAGGTCATTGTCCTTTCACATAACAGAGTTTCATTTTGTTCTTTAAACATCATTACTTTTCCATATTTGTCGCAGTTGTTGTTCAACATTTTCAACCACCAGATGTCGCTTTCGATGACGCATTCGTTGATTTGACGAAGGGAGGTAATTTGTAAACAGGTGGACTCAGACTAGCAATTATTTGCCCATTGACTTCAATGTTAAATGGCTGTAACATCACAGGCTGTAGCTTTTTTCTCAACATTCCGTTGGTTCCAATCTTTATAGGCACAATGGGGACAACATTTGGCAATCTCCTCATCATAATTTTGTAGGGGGTTGACCATTTAGATTTTTTGCTACACGGATTTGAAGTTGACTGGGGTGAAAATCTCACTTCCGACACATTGACTGCTCTGCAGAAAGACACTTTACACCCCCTATCCCTCCGCTGTAATATCATCAGTATTACCCAAAACTGCTATGAAATTGCAAATTTGATCCCTTTTCTCCAATTCTAGACCAAAAAGTCAACCCAAAAATGCAGGAAGAGGGGAGAAAAAAATTAAGGGAAAAATTGTCTATTTATAACTCGCACTACATTCGAAATAAGGGGAAATAATTACTAGTCTTAGTCCAGGTGCTTTTTCCAAAATGTCAGACAACTGAATAGCCCAATAGCCTGGACGAAACATTTGTCTTTCAGATGTTTAGATTATCAGTTATCGGAAGAGCCATTAGGCCTCACTATTTTAATAATGCAGTTAAATATTTTGCAGCTGCTTCCCTGACATCTCATATTATCTTCCCATCACAGGTGAAAACTGAAATAATAATTAGGCCTATCTATATTTAATACTATATTACTATTAGTATATTATTAATATAATATAATAATAATAATATTTTTTAATTATAATTATTAAGTTTATTCATAATTTGGAAAGGTAGATCATACTATAAATGTAAATAATTTTATTTTTTTGTTTCAGTTGTATTGTAGTGCTACACAAGATGAAGTTACAAAAGCTAAATTAGCCCAACCAAATAAGCCCACTATATTTTCAAAGATCTTGGATAAAACAATCCCAGCTGATATATTGTATGAAGATGAAAAGGTGACATATTATTTAAAAGGACATGATCTACCTATTGCAGGCCTTTCTTTGGATCTTAAATATTATGTAAATTATTAAATAGACATTTACAGGACAAGACCATAATCGACTCTCGATGCCATCAGATGGCTCTGATTAGTACAGTTCGGCCATTTACTGATTTAATTTAAAATTGGAGAAGTGAGGGTAAAATTCGAACGACCAGTACGGTAGTTAAGATCAATGCACACATCTTCTCAAAACTACAACCACTAATAACTTCACTCAAAATAAAGTAATTTGAATGAAATTTTCAATATTATTCATTTTGCATTATCTATTTTTGAAATGTTACAGCGAGAACAGCCAGCTCTTTATCTAAATATTACATAATGCCTCTTTTAATTATTGGTATTTGTTTAATGCAATAATCTATTTGAACACTAATAAATAGGCTACTCAAACTTTTTAGTATCAGTAAATATAAAATATTCTTTCGTTTCTAAATCATTAGTGTATTGCCTTCAGCGATATCACACCACAAGCACCAATTCATTTTCTAGTTATTCCCAGAAAACCAATTCCTGGAATAAGTGAGGCTCATCAGGAAGATGAACAGGTAGGTCGACCTAGGTATTAGTTTTCTGATGTTATTTTACTCTAGTTAAATCCATTCTTATAATTAGAATAGACTGCATTCCCATACCCCACAGCTCGATAACAGTAGTGAGTTTGTCTAGGTACAAGAATGCATAGATTGTTACATATTCAAGTTAAAGAAGATTTGAAAATTTGTGTTAGAAAAAACTAGATGTATTTTTAAAATGATAACAAATAAATGTCACATCTTATTTTGTTTTTCAAATACCGTATATCTTTATTTTTTGCAGTTATTAGGTCACTTGTTACTGGTTGCTAAGAAGGTAGCTTCAGAAAAAAAGTTGGATAATGGTTATAGATTAGGTAATTTCTTCATTTCATGCAGAGATAAAATAGCTAAAAATAAACTGTTTCTCAATATTTGTTTTATCTAAAAAGTTATACCGAGACAGGCTGAGACGAATTATCATAATATTGAATAAATAATTTTTAAAATGGATGTGATATTAATGAATGCAATTTAAAACAATTTGTCTGAAGACTAAATTAGTAAAGGGGGAATAACTCATCAAGAACAATTTATCATAATAATAGTGAATAAATAATTTTTTACAATGGATGTGTGATGTAATGAATGCAATGTAAAACAATTTGTCTGAAGACTAAAGGGGGAATAACTCGTCAAGAACAATTTATGTTTTTTGGTGTCTGAAATGTCAGTTTGAAAAATATTGCTAAAAAAAATTACCCTGAACATTTTTTTCTTTTCAGTGATAAATAATGGACCTGATGGGTCTCAGTCAGTTTACCATCTACACATTCATGTTTTGGGTGGAAGGCAGATGGAATGGCCACCCGGTTAAGAAGACCATATTAAAGGAGCTGAAATGCTATTCTTTGGCACCTAGAAATGGACACAAATGGGTCGCAACGTATAATGTAATATGACTGTATATAAACTGAGGTTTACATTCAATCGTTTCTGTTTTTACTGTAATTTCTAATCGGTTATGTTCAGCGAAATATGTGGAGAGTGCAAATTGAATGGTAGTCTTTGGTATCTGGTTATTCCAGTCTACACTGGTAGTATTCTCCTGTGAGATATGCTTAGCCTCATTTATTGAATCGCTTCATTACTACTGGCACTCAAAAGCATTCTGGCACGCGATTCGTGTGCCAATCTCAAAACTTTCATTTTGTCTTAAATATTGGATATCAAAAGCACATCTTTTCACAGTAAGATAACGTCAAAGTCATGTTTGCAATGTGGATAATATTGAGTTAGCGACTTACCTCTAGTAGAGTGTGCAGAGCATTATTGATTAATTTCTTATTTTTTTTATTCTTTTCAAGGATTTCTTTTTTATGTATTATTAATTTCTTTTCTTGACTATTGTTATTTTTTTATGAATCCTATTTTTGTCAAGGTCGCTGAGATGTAAATAAGGTTAGTTGATAGTTGGAGAGATTGTAGGTTAGGGTTAGTCGATATGCATTAGGGCTAGGTCCAGGGTTTCGGTTAGGGTAATTGGGATTAGCGCTAGCCCTGTCCTTGCTTTGGAAGGAAAGCTAAGCATACGGAGTAAAACCACACGATTGAGAAGGCATCTGTATCATCAAGTCACATACGCTCACACCTGGGACTGAACACAGAACTACAATCCCGAGGTAGCTGGCCAGCTACATGTATAGTTTTAAGCGCGACAACCCCTCCCACATCCCAGATTACTCACACCTTAACTTCACATGCCCTCTTCCAATCTCTGTGAAACCTCTATCTTATTAAATACTTCTGTGGAGTAAAACCACATAATTGAGAAGGCATCTTATTAACTTATAAGGGGGTAAATATAATGGGGAAATATTTAGTTGTGGTGATGGGCATGGAATGGAGTCGGGTAGGGGGGGGGGGGGTATACACACACGCACAGTTGGTCACGAAATTTCCCTTTTCATTTTGGGACGTATCACTGTCCACAATTGAACACTGTATATTCATGATGCATGTGTGTGGGCCACAGTTAGATAGTACCATTATGCTGTATGCCATTAACCTTGTAAGGTACCTTAAAGGGACTATCCCAATTTGAAAAGAGTCTCAAAAATAGAAGTCTGAGTACGTATGAAATTTAAGGGTCAAAATATAGAGGAATGGTGTATTTACCCTGTCTCAAAACTTCAGCTCAAAATATTGAGTCGTTTGGACGTGAACGTCAAAATTGCTTATCCGGACACGTAACCCTTTTAAGATTGTAACCCTTTTAAGATTTCGGGTCAATTTTTTCGTTGGGTGACCTGATAATCGATTCCGTTTTCTTTAAAGGTCTATACAGTGAATGACCCATGTGCTGTACTTGATAACGAAAGGTAAATTTGACTTAAAACATTATTTTTATAAAATAAAAATCTGTTTTTATCCAGACACCGCATAATACAGCTTGGGACATCGGTCTCCATTTCCAGATTAAGACTGACAGGTTTAAGTTGTGAAAATATATCCCATGTTGAGTAAGTTGCTCTATCCTAAGTAAGAGGATGTTAAGGGATTTTAACACAAAATTAAGCAGTTTTATTCTTCAAAATATTATCGGGATTGGCCCTTAAAATCTACAGATAAAATGTAATGTCCTATTCCAGATTTCACTCATTTCTAACAGTAGTATAGGGGTGTCAAACTCATTTCGATTCAGAACCCACATGAACTTAAATTTTACTTCAAGTGGCCCTGAGATAGGAATGCTTCATGTAAAACTCTGCTAACTTGGGCCAGAACTTTCATGTTCACGTCCCAAAAAGGCCAGCTCAATTTCTCGTTGTAGGTCATGAGATGTAAACAGGGCTAGCGCTAATCCCAACCCTAACCCTAACCTAGCCCCAATGTTTACCCTAACCTACAATCTCACCAACAATCACATGCCTTTACCTTGACAAAAATAAGCTGGCGTTAACAAATATAGATTTAGCCCCAGGTTTAGAGCAGTTGTTTTGAAAACACATTTCCTTCTAACATGGCAGTAACATTAAGCTGAGTGAGACTAAGTATTATGACAAATTTTCTTATTTCTATCACAGAAATAATAAAATTTAGGCGAGAAATGCAAGTTAATGTTCTTCAACATCAACTCTGTTCAGTCAACAAATTTTTACTTATGTTTACCACCACAAAAATATGTGGTCATAAAATAATTCTATGATTATAGCTAAAATATTTATGCTTTTGGTAATAGGTGCATTTACAAGACACTGATATCAATTTCATACAGATCCAATGTTCAACAAAGGCCATAACTGCAGAAGTTATAATTGCTTAAATTCAATAGACGTCTTCCTTTTAATAATTTCAATAAAGCATTTAAAGTTATCGAAGGATAAATTTGTCATTAGGGTTTTACTAATTTAAATATTGCATATAAATTTAGTACAGATTGGATCATAGCTGTTGTCAATACAGCATTCACAAAGTATTCAAGAAAGCGAAACAAGGTCCATCACTCTAGAAGCATTTAATGTAAAATTGTTCAAATTCAATAGGATTCTTTGATTTAGTGGTCTCAATAATGCATATAAATTTAGTCATTAGAGCATGCACATGGTTCAACAAAGTGAATCAAGGGCCATATCTCTAGAAGTAATTAACAAACATTGTTGAAATTCAATAGGATTCTTTGTTTTACTAATTTAAATAATGCATATAAATTTAATACAGTTTCAATCAAAGTGAAACAAGGGCCATAAGTCTAGAGAAATTATCAGAAATTGTTGAAATTCAAAAGGGTTCTTCATTTTAGTGATCTAAATAATGGATATAAATTTCATACATGCAGCAGATGATAGTTTTTGTCGATTGAGCATTCAAAGTGAATCAAGGGTCATAACTCTTGAAGCAATGAATGAAAATAGTTCAATATGCTTCTTTGAGTAAGTGGTCTAAATAATGCATATAAATTTACAGATCGAATGCTACCTTTTGTCGATAGAGCGTTCACAAGGTTCAAGAAGATATTGACGGAAATTGCTGAAATTTAATAGGATTCTTCATTTTACTAATTTAAATAATACATTTAACACAGATCAGACGATAACTTTTGTCGCTAGAGAATTCACAAGGTTCAACAAAGTGAAACAAGGGCCATAACTCTAGAAGTTATAAAGGGAAATTGCTGAAATTCAATAGGCTTTTTTGTTTTACTAATCTTATAATTCATTTCAGATCGGATCGGATCATAATCTTAGTCGTTAGTGCATTCACAAAGTTCAACAAAGTGAAACAAGGATCATAATAACTAGAAGTAAATAACGGAAATTGTTGAAATTAAATAGGATTCTTTATCTCAGTAATGTAAACAATAAATATTAATTTTTAACTGATCAGATAATAAATGTAGTCTGTAGAGCGTTCACAAGAAACTGTGGATGCCAGATGGGCTGGCGGACGGAGGCGATGGCAATATACGACCAGATTTCTATGTGGGTATATAAAAACCTCTCAAAAGAATTGAAACAAAGGAATAAAAAGATAGTTTAATGAAATATTACACATTAATTAGCTCTCCTATTTTACAAATAAGAATCAAAATTATGAAAAAGAAAAATTTGAAAGCTTCTCCATCACATCGGCACTAAAGCAGTAAGTATTAAAAATTATACTCAAAAAGATTATTGTGTAAAAACAACAATTAAAACTAACTTAAGATAGCTTAAATCAAAATCTGAAGTGACAAATCAGAAGAGAAGACATCAAAGATGCCGTCTGAATATTGGAATAATTCACAAGAAATATACAAAATGATCATTATTACGATTTTATATACAGGTATTTATACATAGAAATGTACATCTTTAATTATCATCTCAAAATTATAACCATGCTTAATAGATCATTTTACTCAAAATCCAACACAACAAATAAGATATAATCCAAAAATACATAAATAATACAAAACAATTATACACATAATCTTCAACTGCAATTTACCAGTAGTCAAGAAAAGAGAAATATATCAAACAAGTGATTTTAAGAAAAACTTTGAGTCTTTATAAAAGAATAAACAGAAATATTAATTTGAATCATGGAATAACAAAGGTATGAATAGATCAGTCCTGAGTTCAGCAGAAGTGAATGTAACTTAACCTTTACAACATGACCATTGTCATCGTGAACCAAAGTTTTTTTTAAAAGTATTCTGTCATAAGCCACATGATATTCAATCCTGGCTTGCAAAGACAAAGGTCGTGAAGCAAACACTTAACTGAACAGGGGACAGATTTGTTTCAGAAAGTGAATAAATATTTCTTTTTGAACAATACAATCCATTAAATGTACGATTATTGATATTCAAATTATGAAATCAAATATTACCAGTACTGCTATAGATTTATCTCTTAATTTGTACAATACATCAAAGGGAGTATAATTATCATCATGGCAAAAATTAACCATAAATGAGTCTTTATCAGTGTTGATGATTAAAGTTGTCAGCACATATATTACTTATTTTCAGTTTTATTTAGTTTTCAATATTACTATTTTAGACACAAAATTTATATTATTATAAAATAGAATGTTTAACAGCATATTATTTTGAAAATAATAATGTACTCAACTAATTTACAAGTTACAAATCAAGTAAAATAATTTCACAGATGCAGAAATATTCTGCAATGGTAGACTTGAAGTCTCAAATTATCTATGTACATAAACATACAATATTTAGCTTTGTTCTTGACATCATAATTAACAATTAGGGTGAAAAAAAGAAAGATTCACAGTAAAACGATGCACATCTTTATGCACAGTTCTTGTCTATCAAAAACGTATGTCCTGACATAAAAGTTTGGACATTTTACAATCTGGTGATATTATGTTCTTTTCATTCTGTAATAATTACTTTATTTTTTAAAGCATATTTCTTATATTTTTATATTATGCTAAGGGAGGCAATCCGGCCTTTTCTCTACATTTCTGAATGAGTGCTCTTAGCATGAACTGTCGTCTTGATAATTGTCTAATTTGCTGTAAATAGAAAATAAATAATATTACAAGATCTGTCAAGCAACAGGGTACATTATTTTGAAGAGTGTCATTAAAAATCAGGTCCGCCATAATAATAGGTGTTTTTATTACGTAATTAAGTACATATATATATCAAAAAAAACAAAAAAACAACCCCAAATTCCAGGAATTTTCATACTATACTTAGATGACAGTGTGAATTCAACAGAAACCAATATAAAATGGATAAAAATCAATCAAATTGAATATTGTTGGACCAAATTTGCACTTTCACTTTATCAAACTACTTTTACATTACCTATTTAAAAATATTGCTTGTAAATTTTACAAATTTAATAACCCATTACCTTAAGAAAAACTTCTAAATCTATTACATTCTTGCGCAAACCTTCTCCTAAATAATATATTGTGTCTTCTATAGCTTGTTCTTCAGCAAAAGAATTTAACAATCTGTTTAAAGCAAAAAAGAGCATTAAATATAAGATCACATCAAACTAAAATTACAACCAGCAGTTGCCAGACAAGATACACCCACATTATGCAAGAGAAAGATAGAGAACAAGCTTAAAGATAGGTAGCCAGGCAACGAAACATACACCCACAGCGGCTAAATCGTCCGAGCGGTCGACAAGGGTTGTCGCATATTTATTCCTTTGTAGTTAATTGGGGGCCTTTACAAGACAGTACCATACAGATCAGATTATAATTTTTGCCGTTTGAGGGTTCACAAGGTTCTACAAATTGAAACAAGGGTCTCAACTCTGGATGTAATCTACAGAAATTGTTGAAATTTGACAGGCTTTTTCGTTTCACAAATTTAAATGATACATATAAATTTCATACATATCGGATGATAACTTTCATCAATCGAGCATTAACAAGGTTGAACAAAGTGAAACAAGGGCAATAACTCTAGAAGTAATAAACTTAAATTGCTGAAATTCAATAGGATTCTTCTCTTTACTAATTTAAATGATGCATGTAAATTTCATACAGATCGGCAGATAACTTTTGATGTCAGAGCATTCACAAAGTTCAATAAAGTGAAACAAGGGCCATAACTCTAAACGTAATAAACAGAAATTGCTGAAATTCAATAAGCTTCTTCGTTTCACTTATTTAATAATGCATATAAATTTCAGAAAGACCGGATGATAACTTTTGGCATTAGAGCGTTCACAAGGTTCAATAAAGTGAAATAAGGGCCATAACTCTAGACGTAAAACACAGAAATTGCTGAAATTCAATAGGCTTCTTCGTTTCACTAATTTAAATAATGCATATAAATTTCAGAAAGATAGGATGATAACTTTTGGGGTTAGAGCGTTCACAAGGTTAAACAAAGTGAAACAAGGGCCATAACTCTAGAAGTAATAAACGGAAATTGCGGAAATTCAATAGGTTTCTTCGTTTCGCTAATTTAAATATTGCATATAACTTTCACAAAGATCGGATGTTAACTTTTGGCATTAGAGCGTTCACAAGGTTCAACAAAGTGAATGGAAATTATTGAAATTAAAAAAGGCTTCTTCATCTCACTATGTAAACAACATATATCAACTGAGATATTTAAGAAATACTATTCAAAAAAAGTAGGGGATATTTGATTTTGGGGGCATAATACTAAAATATGCAAATGACTACGAAAAAAGTCACTATAGAATCTAACAGAAGAAACATTTCCAGTTACATGTGACGCCCAAACGCACCAATAGCTACCGCATGGAATGCAGGTGATGCTTGGGATCATCATGGGGGTCCAACCCAAGATTTGCACGACTCTGACTTTGAATGTTACAGTCATTGTGGCATTGAATTCCAGGGTGGAAACATCAGTTTAATTGTTTTAGTGACCAGAAAACAAATTTTGATATGCGTCGGCTTACCCAAAATGAAAGGTTACGTGCCCTTGGCATGCTACAGATCGGCACAACACAGGCGGTTGTGGCGCGGACGATGAATGTTTCTCAGTCTGTCATAAGCAGGCTATGGTCCAGATACCGTGATACACAATCTGTACAGGACAGACCACGCTCAGGTCGACCAAGGGCGACAACTCAAGCCCAGGATCAATTTATCCGTACCTTGGCCTTGAGAAATCGTGTCATCACAGCAAATCAGATCAGCGCTCGTCTTCAAACAGACACTGGTGTGAGAGTGAGTGGCCAGACGATTCGGAATCGACTGCATAGGGGTCACCTTCGCGCCCGACGTCCTCGCGTGATCCCTTGTTTGAGAGATCATCACATTCAGGCAAGACGTCGTTGGTGTAGGGATCGTCAACACTGGGATAATCGACGCTGGAGCAATGTGATGTTTTCAGATGAGTCAAGGTTCACTGTTGATTTTTTGGACAGACGTAGGAGGGTGTGGCGTCGTCGAAACGAGCGCTTCCAAGACGTTAACGTCATCAGACATGATCGATTTGGGGGTGGTTCTGTTATGGTGTGGGGAGGCATCACTGTTGCTGGAAGAACGGCTTTACATGTTGTTGCAGGGCGTGTTACAGGCCAGTACTACCGGGACAACATCTTGGCAGTCCATGTTGTGCCGTTCGCACGACGTCATGGCCACGCAAGATGTCACAGGGCCAGGATCGTTACAGGTTACCTCCAACAACAGAACATCACCACATTACCTTGGCCAGCACTGAGTCCCGACCTCTCCCCCATCGAGCATGTCTGGGACATGCTTGGACAGAGGTTACGTCAACGTCAACAACGTCCTGCCAATGTCCAAGAACTTGCTGCTGCGTTGCAACAGGAATGGGACAATCTGGACCAAAATGACCTTAGACGTCTCATTAGGAGTATGCCACGTCGGATCAATGCTTGTTTGGCAAACAGAGGAGGATTTACCCGTTACTGACTTGGTTGTGATGCTGTGGTAACTTTGCTGTTTGACCCCGGGTATCATTTTACCCTTATAATGGTCAGTCTGTGCCTTACTTAGTCTAACGATCATTTGGAATAAATCGATGAATGTGAACTTCATTTCATTTTGTCATTTGTTTCTTCGTCAGTTTCATTAGGTGACTTTGATAACACTTAAAAATCAAATATCCCCTACTTTTTTTGAATAGTATATAAAGATATATTTTAAGTTTCATCAAAATCGGATAAAAATTGCGACTTCTAGAGGGTCCACACTCCACAACCTTGGTATTACATACTTTTACACTATTTGCGTACAAGGAGCGGCCATTTTGTCAGGTTGTTTCAGTCATGAAATTTAAACTCTGCCGTCATTAGTGTGTAACGGTGATACATTTAAATGTTCTATTTTTAAAATTTGACAAAAATTGTGACCTCTAGAAGGCCCACAAGCTAAAAACGTGATTTTTCGTACAATCAAGGGCCATATTCCACGAAGTTAAGGTCTGATATGCGCAAATATTGAATGGAACCAAGATCTTTGGAGTATAATCATACATTTTATGTTTCATCAAAATCCGATAACAATTGTAACTTCTAGAGTGTCCACAACCTTGGTACATGTATTACATACTTTAACACTATTTGCATACACGGAGCGGCCATTTTGGCCAGCAGTTTGGGTCAGATTTTTATGAAATTCTAACTCAACCTTCATTGATGTGTAACGGTGATATATTAAAATGTTTTTAAAATTGAATACAAATTGTGACTTTAGCTAAAGATAGGTTGCCAGGCAACGAAACATACGCCCATGGCACACAGCAGCTAAATAGTCTGAGTGGTCGACGATGGTTGTCGCATATTTATTCTTTTGTAAGTAATTGGGGGCATATACATACAGATCAAATTATAAATGGCCGCCCTTCGTTCTCAAATAGCGTAAAAATATGGTATATGAAGGTTGTGGACCCTATAGAGGTCACAATTTTTATCTGATTTTGTTGAAACTTGAAATGTAAGTTTATAACCCAAAGATCTCGGTTCCTTTCGATATTTGTGCATATCGAATTGTAATTTCCTGAATTATGGCCCTTGATTGTAGGAAAAATCACTTTCTTTTTAGCTTGTTCTCTATCCATCTCTCGAAAATGTGGCGTATCCTGCCTGGCAGCCGCTGGTTCGTTTTACTAATTTAAATAATGCATATATATTTCATACAGATCGGATGATAACTTTTGTCATTCGAACGTTCACAAGGTTCACAAAGTAAAACAAGGGCCATAACTCTAGAAATAATTGACTGAAATTGCTAAAATTCAATAGACCTCCATTTCACAATTTAAATGATGCATATTAATTTCATACACAGCGGATAACTTTCATCAATCGACCATTAACAAGGGTGAACAAAGTGAAACAAGGGCCATAACTCTTGAAGTAATTATTGTAAATTGCTGAAATTCAATAGGGTTCATGGTTTCACTAATATAAATGGTGCACATAAAATTCATACAGATCGGATGATACATGTAACTCTTGGCATTAGAGCATTCACAAGGTGCAACTAAGTGAAACAAGGGCCATAACTCTAGAGGTAATAAACGGAATAGGCTTCTTCATCACACTAATCTAAACAACAGATATCAATTTTAAAACAATCGGATGATAATTTTGGGCATTAGAGCGTTCACAAGAAATTGTTGATGACAGACGGCAATATACGTCCACATTTCCATGTGGGCGTATAAAAATTAGATTTTTCGAACAATCGGGGGCCATATTCCAGGAAGTTACGTTCAGATATCCAAGATCTTTGTCATATAAACATAAATTTAAATTAAAATTGGATCAAAATTGTGGCCTCTAGATATACAATATTTTTACACTATTTGTGTACGAGGAGCGGACATTTTGTCTGGCAGTTTTGGTCCGACTTTCAGAAAATTCAAACTCAATTGACATTACGGTGTAATGGTGATTTAGTCGTACTTTTTTTTAAATCGAATAATAATTGTGACATCTATAGGGATTTTTGGTACAATCAGGGGCCATAATTTAGGAAGTTATTATTCGATATGCGCAAATATCGAAAGAAACCAAGATCTTTGGCTTATAAACATGCAATTCAATTTTCACCAAAATCAGATGATAATTGTGACCAATAAATCTGTGATTTTTTAAACAATCAGGACCTATAATCCATCAAAATTATGGTCCGATATATTCCAATATCGAAAGGAACTGGGATTTTTGAGAGATAGACCTATATTTCTAGTTTTGTCAAAATTGGATAAAAATTGTAACCTGTAAAGTGTCCACAAACAAAAAATACGTCCACATCAAAATGTGGGTGTATAAAAATTAATACTGAGAGAATGAACAGCATAGTCGGATTTTCAGTACCCACTCTTGTTATTTTTATATTCTGCTGCTCTTATCCTACTCCTCGTCTAATATACAAAACAGTTTTTGTGGCTCTAACGTCTTAGGATACTGGCCTCACAATCAAAATATCACAGGTTCGACTCCTGACATGGGCCAAGAAGAACCTTCAGGATCTTTCAAGCCCAGTTTTGACTTGAAAGTGTACAAGAGTTAATTCACAGATTAAATGATGTGCTACTTGTTCTCTACTGACCAATCATGGGAATATTCTGAATATAATTTGCTACTAAAAAATTGATCAAGCCAGGTCATTATAAAACGTTTTTAAAAAAATTCTAATGTAGAAAAGCCACAGGGAAGGTAAGTATTAATACATACTGTCTATATAAAGGTGTCGTAGTAACAACAGCTTCATCCATATCCATTGGATCATCATTCTCTAGCTTTTTTAAAGCCTCTTTCACCTCTGATGTTTTATCACTTAACAATTTGGTGTTTTTCTCACACTCATCCTGACAATTACAATTTTATAAATCAATATTTATTCAGGAAATGGCACCAGTTTGTCTTCATTAAATAGCTAATGTTCTAGATAGTGACCGTGGGAATGGGTATGTAATGTTATATCTGTCTTTTGAAGGCACTCAAGTGTTAATTTCACCTGCTTGATAATTAAAGTTTGGCAGAAAATTTACATTGAAAATAGAGTGTGTATGGAGGACTTTACATGTGAAGCATAACGACGACATTGTTTTATGGGACTTACGCTTTCAAAATTGATATAAATTTAAAGGAACTGCTTCAATTTTTATAGCATTTGAAAGTCCTATCAACAAAATAAAAATAACTCGTAATATTAGATAAGAAACACCTTACAGGCTATTATGTACCCTTAAAAATATATTATGAATTATGACTTATTTGTAGTAAAACAGCTTTGATATTTTAAATGTTGGATTCTGGTACCTAAAGGGTTAATTATTTGCTATATCCCATAGCCAATACATTAAATAGAAACTTCTATAAAGATTAAAGTAAGATATTACAAATGTCTACCTTCTCATTTTCTAGATCTTTTATCATCTTTTCTAGTTTCTCTTTACCACGAGATAAGTCTGTCTGGGTTTTCTTTAAAACATCCATTTCAGCCTACAACACAATAATACTTCATAAATTTTCTGGTGACAAATTTATTTCAATATTTGTTCTTATATTGTTATGACAAATCCCACACTATATAAGTGCCTGGGTAATCATGACTATTTTCTAAACAAAGTTACAGTGGTATGTAATTGTTGCAGTTATCAAGTCGCTGATACAACTGAACAAGGAAATTCCTTATATTCCTTTTTCTACCGTTTTACTCCCACTGTTAAAGACCCCTAGGTGTGAGCAAACTGTTGATATAAAATTATCCAATGACTTTTCCTACATAGTTTACGTCAAACCCCATTTCTCTCTTTTATACACACCTCAGCCTGTGCAAAAGTCTCTCTTAGTCTTCGTTTTAATTTATCTTCTACAGCAGACAACAATGATGCCTTTATATGAGCCTCGGTTACAGTACCAGTTCCTGGTCTCATATCATTTGAACTTGTGGCTGAAAATAAATAATTTTACGTACAGATTTAATGTGGACTCTTTTATAATTTAAACTCATGGTTATAATATGGAGATAAATCTTTAGATTTTCTATTAAGAATTAAACAAATTCTCTAATTTCTTTATCTAGCTTTTTTAATATCTTACTGTCCAGAAGATCCTATTATAAATGTTTACTAAAATAGGTTGGCAGGCAACAAAACATACGCCCACAGCAGCTAAATTGTCCGAGCGGTCGACAAGGGTTGTCGCTTAGAAGTAATAAACGGAAATTGCTGGAATTCAATAGGCTTCTTCTTTTCCCTAATTTAAATATTGCATATAAATTTCACAAAGATCAGATGTTAACTTTTGGCATTAGAGCATTCACAAGGTTCAACAAAGTGAAACAAGGGCCATAACTCTAGACGTAATAAACGGAAATTATTGAAATTAAATAGGCTTCTTCATCTCACTAATGCAAACAACATATATCAATTTTAAAACTGGATGATAACTTTTGGCGTTAGAGCGTTCTCAAGAAATTGTGGACGATGAACCGACGGATGGACCGACGGACGGACCAACAGACAGGGGCGATGGCAATCTACGTCCACATTTCTATGTGGGCGTATAAAAATTAGAAACATATGCTTACCTGAGCCCTGATACCCTGATTGTGATGAATAAGGAGGATTATAGGGATATTGAGCTGGGTATTGTGGAGTTGCGCCATAAGTTTGATTTTGACTTGAATAACCTCCACCGCTTTGTGGATAACCGCCATAACTCTGACTAGGATATCCAGATGATGGATATGGGGGATTAGGATAACCAGAACTTGGATAACCAGTCGAACTAGGATAAGGGTATGGGGAATTTCCACCAGAACTACCAGCCATTCCAGGAACCGGCATTCCACCTTGAATAATCAAGTTACAAAGTTATGTTAACATAATACATTAAAGGTGCACTTTACCCACTTAAGGTGGGTTTAAGTATATAAATCAAATAGCAAAATTAAATTACCTTCTCTAAATATTTCAAATCAAGATATTAAGCCATACAGAGTAGTCAAAAGATTTGTTTAACTGTTTTGTTCAATTGTTTTTGTGACTTGATAATCCGGATGATCATTTACAACTACCATTATTCTTCAGGGCATTAGGCACACATTTTTTTACCAAAACTTTTATTTTCTAGAAGGGATGTACCCAATACATAATGTTTAAAAGCAATTCCAGGCTTTTCTGAAGTTCAAGAAATAACTGCCCAAGAATCAACACGTCGACCAAGTGACCCTACGTCAAAAGCTTATGATATATTATCAGTTACCTCTCAAATTAAATACAATACTGTTCCCTGTCGTGTCCATTTATATTTGTCAATAATGTTTTAGATATGTTTAAAATACGACCACTTTTGTCAATAGCGTTTTAGATACGGTTAAAACATGTCAATAATTATCGCCCGTATTTCTGTTATTTTGTGCATAAAAAAGATGTCAACATTTTCTGCTATTCCGTGCACAGTATACTGTTTGTCATAACTGGCAATGCAAACACCATCAGCATTCACTGAATAGTACTGGCAATAAATTTATACAGTTCACATCTATAGGGAAGCAAAAGCCGGAGTGAATAATAACAGGTTCTAGTACACTGTAAAATAGATTTTAGTCACTTTTCTAAATTGTTGTCTTGTGTGAGTATTGTATGATATTGCTAGTTGTATCTTAAAAATAAACTCAACAGTTCAATGGAAAACAATTACAGCAAATCAGGTATTTTTACCGGATTATCAAAATCACCGTTAAATGTGCTAATTGCTCGGATTATGAACCACATATGGCCGATTCTCACTAAGGTATGACTGTTGTTGTAGCCGACAAGCAAGTTGATTGACGTCTTAATTAACAAGTAATAATTAACCTGTTGTAATTTAGCCAAATGTAGATTGATTATTTATGATACTCTAGTGGCCAATTCATTGTTTTACCAATCAGTTAAAGCCGACAAAATACAGTCGATTATGAACACTGACATTCAATAGTCGAACTCGACAATTCTCTGAGATTTTTTTTTAGAAAAATTTTACGCAAATTCTTGTAGATTCGCAACATATGCTCTTGCAAGAATCCTTGCGCAAATTTGATTCAGAGATTTGCGTGAATTTCTAGGGCTGCAAATGCTTTCCACAGAACTTTTGTGTTAAAGTCAATGTGTTCAATTACTAAATTACCTCCACTAGTTGGGTATGGTGGTTGTGCTGCTCCAATACCAGAATTGGATGAGTATGGAGGGGGACCTCCCTTAGGTGTAACTCTTGAAAACACTGGACAATCCTCACCAAAAGTCATTGCAAGAATCTGAACTAAACTTATCAGATCAGCTTGTGGCTGGAGAAGAAGAAACAAATAAATTGGATAGTAAATAACTGTTGGGTGTTGGAGGGGGGGGGGGAATCAAACATCTTCTACATGTACTTTATGCTTGAAAGATAAATGATGTTTAATTAAAGGGGTCATCATCGTCTTTATGTAAATAATTCTAAGATTGGCTTGATCACTTTTGTCAAATGTAAAAAAACATTCTGACCATATTTTGTTAAACATACATTATGCAAGAGCTAAATCTGCCTATTGCATTTTACATAATCTATTTTTAAGCTATTATAGCAAGAATGGTCAGCTCTTTACCTAAATCTTAGATAATGTATCTTTAAAGTAAAACAAATATAATCAATGCAACAATCAATCAAAACAATGAAAAATCCAAGACAGCTTTCAATGAAATGTTACTGGAACAAAAATATCTATGCCAGACTGTCAATTTTATAGCTTACATGTCTCCAATCTCTAATGAATGGTAGATCGACTTTTCCATTATTATCAACATATTTTCCTGGCTTTATCTGCATGGTGTTTGTTGGTTTTACATATGCCATAGGAGGGTTATAAGGATGAGTGTCTAAAACCCATATACACACAGGAATATTATACTGATTACCTAAAACACAAATAGATATCACTGTGACTGATCATTTTAACCCAATATCACATCTATACTGTATGATTATTAACTACTGTGTATTGCTGTGGCAGAATTACATATTGTATAAATGAAATCACAAACAGTCATATATTTCAACAAAATCATCTACTGATGTTCAAATATTACTATATTGAACACCAGACGTTTCTGTACGCTATTCCTCAGATTAAAATTGAGTTTTCACGTGATTTAAGTAATCATTTGATTTATTTTGAAGAATGCATATATGATGACCAATCTGATTAACGAAATAGAGATTTGTATTTTAATCAGATTGGTATGATGACAGGAGTGGAAAACAAGGTAAGATGGAACAATGAATCGATCTCATTATTTGCATGAAATATAAAACCTTGAATATGATTAAATTTAAGTTTCTATTTATTTCTCTGAACTCACTGAATCAAGAGATTTAAAGTGTTTCATTTTAATTATAGTTAGTTAATCACTATCAATTTATCTCTCTGTTCTTAATACATTATTTTAGAAATATGTAACCACCTCTGTAAGACACAGGAATTGTGCCTTCAAGATTAAGTAATTCCTTTTGTTGTCCATTATTAAAAACTGAAAATGAAAACAAATACAATTAAAGTATATTAAAGGTGGTTTCTTTGTTAATAGTTTGTACCCAGCAGGTAAATGGAACATTTACATTACAAGATACTGCAAAGGGATCAAGGGGGAAAATTCAAATAAGTAAAATTTAATTGGCTTCTTCATAGCATTAACCCAAACAAAACATGTACCAGTAATTAGATAATACCTTTAGCGGTTTCAAGATTTTTCAAAATGAGCAATGAAAAACTGACAGTTATTTTATATGCACGGCAATGTGTACACAGGGACTAGACACTGTTTCTTGTCAAGCCCTCCGTTCTGCACCGCAGACAAGGGTAAACCTAAACCATGCCGGAAAATCACAAGTAACTTTCTCGACTAAAACAATCTGAGACCTCCAGGTTAGCAAGCCAGTGTCTTACTCTTATCCATTGAGTCAATGCTCTTCCAGAGTATATTATAACATCTAAGCTTCATATTGGGCTATGAAATTATGGTCTGTCAAACACAGGATATTTAGTCATGAAGTGATTGCATTCATAATGGTAGATTTTTCATGTCTTTTTTTACTTAGATAAAATTTGTTTGTTAAAGAACCTGTACAGTTAAAAAGATACATGTATCAGTATGAGTATGATGTGGGTGCATTAAATATAATTTAGTTACAATGTATAAAATATTACCAAAAGGCTCCAATTTTGGTCGCAAATCTCGATACTGGTTTAAAACATTTGTAATTTCTCTTTTGGTAACTTCTTGGTTCTTGTACTGAAAAAGAAGTACTATTGAAAATAAATTTATCACAATAATCATGTATAAGATACAAAATGAATATTTAGACAAATATTGGGACTGCATGTAGATTTCTCCTCAAGAGAGCATTGGTTTATTGATTGTGACCACAAGAAATGGAGTGGCAGTTGATTCAAATTAATTGGTCTAATTCAAACTTTATATGCTTATTCATTTTTTCAGAAAATTTGTATTTTTGTCCGATCCAAAACATAATTTTTAGATTTACGACTATAGAAGTTAACATATAAATCTTGTTACATGACAGTGGGCCCTATAAATTTAAGCTATTTACTGATTTAATTCAAAAATCAAAAGTTATAAAACATATAAAATTATGCCAATTTGAGAAAAAAAACCAAAAAAACGTTTTTATAATGATTAATTGCCGGATGTAATGGATATTGGCATCATATTGTGAATATTTTATGACAATCAAATAATTGCCTTTTTCATGGACAAAAAATCTTAAAAAAGGACAAAGGGAAAAATGGCTTGGATATTATATATTTGGTAGCTTTTGGAGATAAACAGAGAATTTTAAGTGGAATATTTGAAGTACATTTTCTGTGATTTACATATGTAGCTCATACATGTATTGTTCATTGAAGTGATCTGAGTGAGATCTTTTCTATATAGATCTAGGTGTTTCCCTTTTATTTTTTCTTATTTCTAATTATCATTATAGGAGCTTTTACATGTGACGTATTTCTGGTGTCTATTTTTATCCTGGCCTTTTTCAACACAGGTCTTAACAAACATGGTAAATGCTAGGGAAAATGGGTTTTTTCCTATTTTCTCTTTATACAAAAAGTATTCTTGAATGCCACTCTTGTTGTAAGTTGCGTGTAGCATTCATAATAAATTACCAATTCCAAATGGTGTCTAAATTATTTTTGTTTCGTTTTATTGACGATATACTGCGTTGTAGCAGACGATATATGTCAAGCTCGCACACGGTCCAGTTGCCCGCAGTACACAAAAGCATTACAAAGATGCATTGCTTTATGAAGCCGATTTATATGTTTTGTTTTAATTTTACTGTAAACAATGCCATAAAATAGAGCATAAGAGTAAATAATAGAATGGGTTAGAGATGGTGACCTGCGGTTCCACAAAAGAATTATTCAAGACGATATTAAAATTTAAGCACGACCGTAGCACATCTAAAAGTTACATATTTTCATTCAACAGTAGTTCTCTGAACCAAATACTGAATTAGAAATTGATTAAATGGACACAAATGTATCGTTCTTCTTCTTGATTGCGGCAAGATAAACTGATTGGATTAAAATTTCACCAAAAGATGAGCCAAGATGATTTATGTGGTTACAATTAACAGAAAAAAAAAACGGTTTTAAAAAATATTCACAGATTCAACTTGATCGTCGTTTTATTAATAATTCTTTCTGTTATTCATATTCCATCAACAGGAAATTTATAAAAATGGCTGAAGTTTTTACCCCGTGCACCAAACAATTATTTTATCATTGGTTAGAGCCATCCAAACGCGGGGAAATTTACAAATTTAGCTATTGGCTAACAACAGTACGCATAAACAATCTTATTTGCATATTTATAGTATTATTAGCTGGAATTATTTTCAAGCCGACAGCCTCAAAGACCAACATAGTACCGTGTTTTGTGTCGAATAGCATGCAGTGCTATAGCAGACGATATATCAACCTCACAAAGAACTGTCCAGTCGGCAGTTGAATGTAAAAAGGAAAGACCATTTAAATCTGTTGTGTTAATAGTCCCGTACCGGTAATTAATATATAACATCTGTTTGACCGTAAAATGCGTAATAAACTTCACTTAATTCTAGTTCATTCCATGAGCACGGATCAGTCATCCACTAGTTTTCTCAATTGCAAACGGCCAATTACTGGTCTGGTAAACATGCCGTATCTTTCCTATATCAAAGTTTTTGTAAATATCGCTTTCTGGCATCGGTCGGTAAACCTTACACGTATATAGAAATGGCATTCAGTTCCATTTTATGTAAAAGAAGCTTACTGTACGACGGTATTTTCACAAAAAAAACACACACACTGGCCTATGGGTTTCTGTCTACGAATAAGGCCAGGGTCTGCGCATGACCGAAAATGACGTCAAAAGGGAAACCCATAAAATCTCCTATAAAGCTTAATATTTATTTTTAATAGAAATATTAAACAATGGTACTGTGGTACCGGCCATGGTCTAAATTTTAATTAGTCATATACCCTCTACTCTAGACCCTAGTCATATGATCATAAAAATTTATAAATAGCTCATGTCCATGACTTTCACAGACACTCTCATCTGATGTAGATTGATGTGAAACTGTCAATAAATAACTTCTTCTAATTTAAAAATTGAACTAAAAAGTTAAAAGTACGCCTATGTATCCAATTATTCAAAAAGGAATTTTCATTATTATTATTATATGTCTATTGACCAAAATATATACAAGAGCAATATTGCAGGCTATCAATGCTATCGTATTCGTAATCATACCTAAATATAGACAATAATTTTTATGAATATCCAGACCAGTGTATGACATTTAATGATGACGTTTGTCTTAACTATAGTCTTACCTTTGTTAAAGCTTTTTGGAGCTGACCTTCATTATAATTTGACATGATAATAAAGTCGTCTTAATTTACTGTTAAGTCGAAGAACTTCAGCTAAACTACGTTTTAAGTCATCTGTTGGTAGGTATGTAATAACAGATTAATTCCGAAAAATCCCCATTTAGATTTAATGACTTACTCATTGAAGAGCTTCTATGATAAGGGGGGATAATTAAAAAGTAAAGTGGGTTCAGACCACAGTTAATCCAAACTGTTTCAAAGCGCCATAGCGGTAATGCGAACGCCTTCTTTAACCACTATACAGGATGACTGGCCTAAGTCTCAAACCTAATTAAAATTTTATTATTATTATTAAGGTCACGCACAGTAAATGGCGTCGATATATAATATTAACACATGCGTTGTATACATCGGAGTCCGGGCAGAAATGGCGCCTTGACTCATCATTGTCATATATATATATACTATTCAAAAAAAGTAGGGGATATTTGATTTTTAAGTGTTATTAAAGTCACCTAATGAAACTGACGAAGAAACAAATGACAAAATGAAATGAAGTTCACATTCATCGATTTATTCCAAATGATCGTTAGACTAAGTAAGGCACAGATTGACCATTATAAGGGTAAAATGATACCCGGGGTCAAACAGCAAAGTTACCACAGCATCACAACCAAGTCAGTAACGGGTAAATCCTCCTCTGTTTGCCAAACAAGCATTGATCCGACGTGGCATACTCCTAATGAGACATCTAAGGTCATTTTGGTCCAGATTGTCCCATTCCTGTTGCAACGCAGCAGCAAGTTCTTGGACATTGGCAGGACGTTGTTGACGTTGACGTAACCTCTGTCCAAGCATGTCCCAGACATGCTCGATGGGGGAGAGGTCGGGACTCAGTGCTGGCCAAGGTAATGTGGTGATGTTCTGTTGTTGGAGGTAACCTGTAACGATCCTGGCCCTGTGACATCTTGCGTTGTCATCCTGGAAGATGAAACGGCGGCCATGACGTCGTGCGAACGGCACAACATGGACTGCCAAGATGTTGTCCCGGTAGTACTGGCCTGTAACACGCCCTGCAACAACATGTAAAGCCGTTCTTCCAGCAACAGTGATGCCTCCCCACACCATAACAGAACCACCCCCAAATCGATCATGTCTGATGACGTTAACGTCTTGGAAGCGCTCGTTTCGACGACGCCACACCCTCCTACGTCTGTCCAAAAAATCAACAGTGAACCTTGACTCATCTGAAAACATCACATTGCTCCAGCGTCGATTATCCCAGTGTTGACGATCCCTACACCAACGACGTCTTGCCTGAATGTGATGATCTCTCAAACAAGGGATCACGCGAGGACGTCGGGCATCGATCCTGGGCTTGAGTTGTCGTCCTTGGTCGACCTGAGCGTGGTCTGTCCTGTACAGATTGTGTATCACGGTATCTGGACCATAGCCTGCTTATGACAGACTGAGAAACATTCATCGTCCGCGCCACAACCGCCTGTGTTGTGCCGATCTGTAGCATGCCAAGGGCACGTAACCTTTCATTTTGGGTAAGCCGACGCATATCAAAATTTGTTTTCTGGTCACTAAAACAATTAAACTGATGTTTCCACCCTGGAATTCAATGCCACAATGACTGTAACATTCAAAGTCAGAGTCGTGCAAATCTTGGGTTGGACCCCCATGATGATCCCAAGCATCACCTGCATTCCATGCGGTAGCTATTGGTGCGTTTGGGCGTCACATGTAACTGGAAATGTTTCTTCTGTTAGGTTCTATAGTGATTTTTTTCGTAGTCATTTGCATATTTTAGTATTATGCCCCCAAAATCAAATATCCCCTACTTTTTTTGAATAGTATATATGCCTCATTATCGCCGAAGACCATCGAACACATTATTTTAGCAGTTACAAATACGAGCTGCAACTTCTTCTCAATTTGAACTCAACCCGCACAAAGCCAGCGGCCCAGATGCAATCTCGACACGTTTCCTTAAGAGCATGGCGGAAGCAATTACACCAGCACTTACAACGATTTCCCAGGCATCGATGAACCTGGGCAAGATCCCACCCGACTGGAAGTCGGCCTTCATCACACCACTCTTTAAGAAAGGGGAACAGAAGCAAGGCTGCAAACTACAGGCTTGTGTCGTTGACATCTGCGTCTCGATTTTGACAATTGCCATAAACTTAGTGTTAAATTGTACGATAAACGTGATGATTTTTTGACTTTCCATTTATTAGTAGTAACATTCCGATATCACCAGCTTATGGAGTGTTTGTGTCTCAGCTAATTCGTTACGCGAGAGCTTGTTCATTTTATTCTGATTTTTTAAGTAGATCGAGGCATTTGTCATCTAAGCTTCAACTACAGGGATACTTGCGAACTAAACTTATTAAAACCTTTAAAAAGTATTATGGCCGTCATATTGACTTGATTGGTAAATATAGCATGTCTCTCTCGGCTATTATTCTAGATATATTTAATTGACGCGTATACTATCTCCCTGATAATGTCTGTCTACTACATGTTAACACTGTTTATCACGTGCATTTTGCATACCGATAGTCCATTGGCCAATCACGCTATTTTACCGAGATTTCGCCTAATAGTTTGGATGCAGGTATAGCGGGTGTGGCGCCAGGTAGGGTAAGCTTACTCTTCCGGATATCTGTTACCACTGTTTGTCGTGTATTTGTACACGGTGAACAGTCCATATGCTGATTACACTATTTTGCCTGATTACACTATTTTGCCTAAACCGTTTTTTTAGGACTTCGAATTTTGTCTAATGGTTTGGATTGTTCGTATTTGTTTTATTCTATTTGCTGCAAGCTCATAGAGCACATCTTCCACAGCCACATCATCACATACCTTGAAAAAAGCAACATCCTGTCCGACAACCAGCATGGCTTCAGAAAAAGACGATCCTGTGAAAGTCAACTAATAACCACCATCCACGACCTTGCAAAAGGACTGAATGAAAGGCAACAGATTGATGGTGTTTTGCTCGACTTTAGCAAGGCCTTTGACAAAGTCCCCCATCGGCGACTATCAGCCAAATTAGCCTACTACGGAGTAAGAGGAGTCACACCTCTTGGATTGAGGACTTCCTGCCAGGCAGATCTCAAATGGTCGTGATAGACGGCGACAAGTCATCTCCAGCCCCAGTGTCATCTGGAGTTCCTCAAGGTACGGTCATGGGACCCATTTTGTTTCTAGTCAAAATCAACGATTTACCAGGTGAAGTTAACTCGACAACGAGACTGTTTGCAGATGATTGCCTGATGTATCGTACTATCAGCAAAGATGAAGACGTGAAACAGTCCAGACAGACCTTGACTCCCTGCAGCAGTGGGAAAAAGAATAGGGAATGAGTTTTAACCCAGGGAAATGTGAGGCAATACGAATCATCAACAAGTGTAACATCTTTGAGGATTCATATTCTATCCATGGACATACCTTAAAATGGACAGACAGTGCTAAATACCTTGGAGTCACCATCGATCGGAAACTGTCATGGAACAGTCACATCACCAGAATTGCGAGAAAAGCACCACTGCCTTTCTAAGACGCAACACCACCAAAACCCACATCAACACCCTGGAGGCAGTACAGCGTAGAACCGCCCGTTTTATCATTGGAGACTACAGCCAGGCCAGCAGCGTTACAGCATGCTCAAGGAGCTGTGAGCTCGAGACTCTCCAGACGAAAAGGGCCCAGGTTAGAACTACCATGATGTACCGTAACCGGATAGTTCATTAGCAGATAGACATACCACCAATGTATATTTATTTTCCGGTTGGGTTCTATGAAAACTAGATCTTTAGAGTGTGCTATGGTTTATTTACGGCATAATTTTACAACATTGGATTGAGTAGCGCTAACAACGTGCGCTTGTAGTAACGAACTATGACTAAGAACACATAACCATGACATTGGTTTATCTTATACTAGCAGGATACCCGGCTTCGCTCGGGGGTCATAACTCCGAAACCGGAAGTGGTAGACTAACGCCACCTGGTCTATGTAGACCCAATGAACAACATATATGCATATTAAAGATCAAGTTTGTCAGTATTCTTAATAATTCGACCACTTCTAAGTATTAATACTAATATCTGGAACAGGTTTTAAGAATGATCTATTGCGTCTAAATTTGTTTCCTTTTTCATTGCTCACAATAAAAGATCTTGGCGTACTAGCCTTTCCTTCTATTACACCAGGATTCCAAGATTTACAATTTTGATCATATATGACAACTTTTTGATTTACATCTAGATTACTATTATTAACATTATGCTTCTTGTCATATTGAATCTTTTGCTTATCTTGTCTAGATTGTAAACAAACTAAATAGTCTTCATTGGTCTGAGTTCTTTGGAGTTTACCAAAAGAAGGAATTTGAGATCTATAATTTCTATTATTTAAAAGAACACATGGAGCAGGAAGTGTATTGTCAATCGGGGTGGTTCTATAGCTTAATAGAGCTATATAGGGATCTTGATTTGAAGATTCAGATTTCTTAAGAAGATTCTTAACAGTTTGCACCATTCTTTCTATAAAACCATTGCTCTGCGCATATAAAGGAGAACTTGTTATGTGCTCTATCCCCCACTCAAGACAAAATTTACTAAATTCAGAACTATTATATTGGGGTCCATTGTCAGACATAATGGTTTGGGGAATGCCATATTCACCAAATATAGACTTAAGATGATTAATTACAAATAATGAAGTAGTACGATCTAATTTACGAACAATAGGAAACTGCCAGGGGAAACTAGGAACACTATGAGGCAGTAAAGATTCCTTAGGTTGTTGTTTACTAAACTGTAAACATTTGAAATACCGGGCCAAAATAAACATTCTTTGGCCTTTAACAAACATTCTTTGGCCCTTAACAAACATTTTTCAGTACCTAAATGTCCTTGATGTATAATATCTAACATTTGATTACGCAACTTATGAGGAACTAATATACGATGACCTTTAAAAATTACACCATTCTCAACAGACAAGTCCTCACGGTATGTCCAGAATTATTTAAGTTCAGAAGGACATACCGATATGAATTTTGGCCACCCTTTAAATATAGTTTCTTTGAGTAAACATAGGACAGGGTCTTCACTTATACACTGTCTAATTTCTTCGAGTTTAGCAGGACTTGCTGGTACATCTTTGG